GAAACAAAGCAATAAAAGAAGAAATTGAGTAGAATCAGATATTTTCTTCATTCCAGAACAAGGCAGGAGGAGGCAAATCAGTAGGTGGAAAAAAGGAACTGTTTAGAGGGACCCAGAGGTGCAGCCTGTCAGAATTCAGTAGAGATGGTTATGAGGCTCTGTCCTCAAACATTGAGGGATAGGATCCAAGTCTGTATCTCGGTTAACTTGACATTGAAGTTCTAGGTGCTCAGGACACAGTGATAAGTAAGGTGGTCTCTTTCCTAAATGGATCTTACAGTGGTAAAAGACAAAACCAGTTTATTTGGGGGAGATTAAAAATTAAATCAGGCAAGATTTTTGCTGTGAAGAAACTCACAGATGATTGAAAGAGAATCTGTGTTTTAACATTTCAACACCACTTTTCCAGTTAAATTCTCAGCCAGCCCAACAAAACATCCTTTAGTAGCACTTTATTGAAGATGTCGTTCTTGGTTTACCTATGAATCCATCATATTGCATCAGGAAGTTAGATTTAATGACTGCGGGAATCATTTGATTGTCACAGAGTGCTACAGGGATGTTCGAACACCTTTGCTTATTCTGTACAAACAGAAACACTGGAGAGACAAATTGGAGAGTGATGAAATTGGTTGCAGCAGAAAGGAAGGGTTGTCACAGGGTAGGAAGGGTAGTATTGGGACTGTTGGAAAAATTTGAATAAGGTCAGTAAGTGAGCTCATAGCATTGTATCAGGGTTCAATTCCTCGTGTTGATGTACTGTGTTATATCAGAGAAAGTCCTTGATCTTAGGAAATAAACACTGAGGTATTTAAGGGTCCCTTACTCTCAGATGGTTTAGAGAAAATTGTGTGTATAGAGAGAGGGGAAGAGCAGAGAGAGAAAATAATAAAGCAATGCAGTAAAATTTTAATTAGGAAATCTAGATGAAAGGTAGCTGAGAGTTCTTTACCCTAGCAGCTTTTCAGTTAGTTCACAATTATGTAAACATAAGAGTTTTTTCATTTTGTAAACATTATTTAATGTGTGGGTCATTTAAAAATGTTTTCCAGGTTTTTGGCCCAGCTTTTGCACTAGCATGTCTCATCATTTGTACCCTTTAGGTTCCCACTGAAACAGTGTTTCTGAGAGTTCCAACCACCATGCGCACAGGTGGTTAGACAGGAGGTTGACACTTGTCGTCTTTCCTAGTTTTCAGTTATGCAGTCATCGTTAGCCATGCGCCCAGATTCCCCTTAAGAGATGCTTCATGTGACATTCTCCCTTTATTCTAAAGGTCTTGAGCATGTGGATAAAGGAATCCTATTTTATTAGTAGCAGCAAGGTAACCCTATTTGTGAATCTTGTAAACAAACAGAATGCCTCAGTTGTCAACTCCTGCACTGGGATTGCTAGTCTATCAGTTTGGGAATCAGCATGTTGATATTTTGGTGGGAGTTGCTTGTCACATATCGGTCATTTCAAATGTTGGTTATGTAGCCTTTCCTTTGGATCAGTCTTGTCATGAATTTATAAAATGTACTACTTTTTCAATAATTCAATTTTTAGTTTTTCTTTATCTTTCTGTTATCTGTTTTTTATTTAAATTTTTGCTCCTATTTGTCTTTCTTCTCTCTCTCTCTCTCTGTCTCTCTCTCTCTGTCTCTTGTTCTCTCCAGTTAATTTTGTTGTACTTGATGGCAAGTACTATTCCTGTTAATCTCTGACTCTGTTACGACAGACCTGATGAGTCTGCAGGGCTTCATACAGCTTTGTAGAATTTTTGCCTTCAGATTCTTACTTCACAGTGTCCATTTATTTAATTATTCTAAGTTAGTGGTTTTTAACCATCCTTTGTGCTGCAATGAAGACCCTGCATACTTTGTTCTTACTTAAGACTGCTCACTGAGATAGTTCCTCATCTTCACTCTGTGCTCTGAATTGCTTTGCTAGCTTCCTCCCTGCTTGCCCTGTTTTCAAAATGACTGTACTTCTAAGATCGTCTGTAGTTCCAGTGGATGAAACAATCAGCGTTTACCACAGCCTCCTAACTTTTATGACATGACTTCAACTGCATTTAAAAAATGCAGTCTTCCCCTAAAAGATGAAAAATTGCCACCACTGAGGACATTTACAAGAGTGAGATTTGGTCTATGAAAGAATTGCATGTGGAAAGCAAGTTTTGGGTGAGGCCCTGGGTTTGTTATAAGAGGCTCCTCAAGTGTTTGACTTAGTGTGTGACTGACTTAGTTTTACATGTCATTTGCTTTATAGGAAAATCTGTTAGAAACCTGTATCAATATTTCTAGACATGCGTATTGTTAGCATTTGGCTTTTAGTATGTTTGTACCATAGGCCTCAGCTGTCCACTTCCAGATCTTCATCCTTATGATGGTATTTAAATCAGATTATGCTACCTGGGCAATCACAAGACTCTTCAGAATTTGCTCTATGCATACATGGTGTATTTTGAAGCACTTTAGTGGTGAGTGGAGTCATTTGTGATCAGGTAAGGGTCTTTTAATGTGGCATTGGATAAGGCAGTCCACTCAGTGGAAACATCCAGGCATTAGGAGAAATCCACATATAACATCTTCTTTTCTTTTTCCTTTGAAAGTGGATTCAGAGGTAGCTGAATTTCTGAGCATTTATTTTGAACCTTTACCAGTTGTCTCGTCCTGTGGGTGCCATGAAAATGTTGCATCCTGCATGCGTCAGATTACTTGAGTAGGAAGCTGCTCATTCACTTGTTTCAGGAGCCCACAGCCCCAGCTCTGGCAGGCTGCCCAGAGGTGGGTCTAGCAGGTCTGCTCGCTTAGATTCTTTTTGCTTTGTAGACAGACTTTGAAAGTCTTAGACTGATTCAATTAAATGTCCCTTAAACATTAAAAAAAAATCGAAGGGAACTTTACTGACATCCTGAGTGAGAATAAATTTAGAAGGCAAAACCAGGTGTAAGTTTGAGAAGTACCTACTGGGTGCTGGGCAGTTTTAGGCAGGGGTGCTACAAAGATGAACAAGACAGGGCTCCTTTCCAGCAGAGGAGGGCCAGGTGTACTGTCCAGGTGAGGGGGGTACAGAGACTACCTAAAGCTGTTTGAGGGGAGAAAATGGACAGAGAAGCCTTCTAAGACAGGGTCACCATGACTTTATGATCCTAAGGCACAGTTTTGGAGTGGAGGAGCACAGTGAATCATCAGAGTTGATGATGTAAGCAGGTCATTCTGGACTACCTGACGCAGGCAGGTACTCTAATCCAAGAAGTGCTGAGTTTTAAAGGCAAGCAGGAAGCAAGCTGGCGACTGAGGAAGAATCGCCTTTAGCAGCAGCATGGAAGACATGGTGGGTGTCAGCGAGCATGTGGTACTCGTGGAAGCATGTGACACTGCCACCTTGTGAGTGGACAATGGTCAGGTATTTGTAATTCCATGCAGTTGAATCTAAGGTAAGGGGAGCACAGAGCATTCATGCTGAGTGACCAGGGATGAGCCTGGAAAAGGGGCCAGAGCCAAGTTCTGAAGTTCTTGAGCACCATGTGATGGAGGGGTATAACAAACTGGATGTTGCTGCCTTTTGCAGAGTGCTGTGAGGGACAGTGCTCTACGGCTTCCATCTGGTTGGCTAAATTTTTGTTGGGCCAGTATCACAGTTTGAATTTTGCCCTAACTTGCTTTCTCTGTGTTCCACTCACTGGTGTTGATTCCAGTACACTAGTTCCATGAGACCAGAAGCTACTACAAATTGGTTGGAAGAAAATACGCATCAAGCAAGAAATTAGAAATGTGCTCACTGTTATGTAGATGCACAGAGTACCATGGCAGTGTGTTTTAAGAAGACTAAGCCTGGAGGTGGCTTGGATTAGTCAGAACATGAACTTGGCTACCACTCCTTCCATGCCAGCTTCCTCATTTGTAATGTGGAAAGGACCCACGTCTGCTCATCCTTTAGGAGACTGTCCTGGGGTTGCTCAAGTGATTGTGGAAGGATTCCCAGCAGCGAACATTTTTCTAATGTGGTAATGAATCTTCATTGTCAACCCGACTGGATTGAGAAGTGTCTAGGAGATGAGTAAAGCACACTGGGTGTGTGTGAGGGCGTTTCCAGAGAGGACTGGCCAGGGGAAACTCTCTTTAGCTAGGCAGCGTCATGCATAGGCTGGGTATCTGTGTGGAGTAAAAGGGAAAGAAGGAGTGAGCCCAGGACTGTAGGCATTCTCTCTCTCTGCTTCCTGGCCGCCAGAGTGAGATGCCTGCTCCACCATGTCCTGCTGCTGTAATGGACTGAAACCAGGAGCCAAAACAAGTCTTTCCTCCCTTAAGTTGTTTGTCATGTCAATGAAAAGTCTGAGTAACTTTGTTGGAGTCACTTTGCTAATGTCGCATTGGCCAAAACAGTTCACAGGACCAAATTTATTTTCAACAAGGAGAGACAGATTTCCCCTTTGCATGGGAGGATTTGTAAAATGTGTGTATGTGCTTTACACACGTGTGTGAAAGTTACCAGCATAACATGTCTTATAATAGTAGCAGTTAACATTTACTCGTCATTTTCTGTAAAAATACTTATTAGAGGTGAGCATGCCGAATCTGAAAGTCTGAAATCTGAAACTTTGAGCCCCGTGGATTTTTAGATTTGGGAAACTCAACCAGTACAGTATATGAAATACTCCAAAATCTGAAAAACTCTGATATCTGAAACACTCTGGTCCCGAGCATCTTTTTAAGGTAGGGGACACTCAGCTTGTATAGAGGCAACTGGAGGACAGGGATGCGGTGCTTGTCAGGCGTGCAAGAGGCCCTGGGTTCAGTCCCTGTCCCCCCAAAGCAACAACAAAACAAACGAACAGAACGAAACAACATAGAGGCACCTGGGCTATTCTTAGCAGGTTTTGTCTCAGGAGGATGAAAAAGAAAACACCCATGTGGAGATTTGGTACATTCTTTTTGACATCTTAGGATAATTTTAATGGTGACAACACTTTGCAAATAAAGTAAAGCTCTCTCCTTTTCTTTCCTCTGCAGTAAGAAAAGTGGAAAACCACCATTACAGAACAATGAGGTAAAACTTTTCAATCATCTACTTTTTGGGATTCCATACATTTATTTCATTTATTTTGTTTTATAATTTTGAATTAGATAAGATCATAGAATTTTAGAATTAGAAAGGAACTTAAAAATGTCACTTGCAGTCTACTGCATATTATAGGAACTCTTCATGAAATGTCATTCTGATAGCTGTCTTCTAGTGTTTTTGAGTGTTCACTCGTGGAGAACACAGTTCTGAGGAGGTGGAGTTCTGCTTGTTTTAACCCACCATGAGATGTAACTCCTCACCCTCTAGTTTCTTTCTTTTCTGTTTTTAATTTAAATTTTTTGAAAGAGGGTCAGGCTATATAGACAAAGCTGGCCTCAAACTCTTGGTCCTCTTCCCTCAGCTCCCAAGAGCTGGGATTGCAAGTTTGTGCCACCATGCCTGACATCCCTCTAGCTTCTTACTGATTGACTGTATTATGTATTTGTAGCAACACATATATTTGAAGGCACTTGTGTCCTCTGAGGTTTTTTTACCCTCTTACTAAGTAATTATACCTTCAGCTATTTTGTATGCGACATGGTCTTTAATCCTTTTTCAATTCTATATACCTTTTTTGGATGTATACTAGTTTCCCTAGACATTGTGCTTAGAATAGAAGGTACTTGGCCCAAATGTGGGTTACCTAGCATGGAGTACATCAGCATTACTCACTCCTTGACAGGAACACCATATTGCTAGCATTCAGCCTAACTCTGCTTCTATTCATTTAGTTGTAGCTGTTGTTTACATTAGGTAAGGTAATTGCAGATTGTAACCTTCAAGTATCTTTCTGATGAACAGCTCTGTTGACAGATCTCCCATGTCTTGTGTTCATCAGGTGATTTATTTCTTTAATAACAGCTTTATTGAGATACAGTCTACAAACTATAATATTTACCCTTTTAAGGGTGTAACTCAGTAGTTATTAGTATAGTCACAGACTTGAATGGCTATCAGCACTGTCTAATTTTAGAATAAAGTCCCTACCCCGCAGCAGTCATTCTACATCACTCTCTTCCTTTAGCCCCTGGCAACCACTCATATACTTCTGTCTCTGTTGACTTCCTTCCTGGGCCTTTCATAGACTAGCACTGTGCAGCCTGCTGCCTTTCACTTAGCATAATGTCTTCAGGGTCGATCTGGGCTTTGCTATATCTGTATGATGTTCTTTTTTTTTTTTGCTGAAAGATATATACTGCATTTTATTTATTCATGCATCAGGTGAAGGACATTTAAGCTGCTTCCATTTTTGACTGTTATGGATAATGCTACTATGAATGTTTTTCTACCAGTTTTTGGGTGGAGGTATATTTTCATTTTTCTGAGGTAGTGTATACCTTGCAGTAGAATTTCAGGTCATATGGTAATTCATTTGATTTCCTTTAAGTAAAGACTAATCTGTCATTGGATATGTTACCTTATTGTACTTAATGGCTATTCCCTTAGTGTAATTTTCAGTGGCTCTCTTATGTCTAGTCTGTGAAGTACAAGGTGTTATCTACAAGTTTAATTTGCCTTCTCTTTCTGAAAATCGCTGTGTTGACGAAGTCTAGAGGATTACTCTACTCTCACCTCACCCCATCTTTGTGGGTTTCAACATTAGGGTTTATTTGACTGTGACTGGATCCAACCATGTCAGAATTTGGTTCTTATTTCTCCATTTAAGTCCACTCTAATTTTATAAACTTTATAAGAATTTTATAAATTTATAAGAATTTGCAGATGATATGATCCTAAACTTACTAAGATCCTAGATACTCCACCAAAAAACTCTTAGAGCTGATGAACACTTGTGGCAAAGTTGCAGGATACAAAATCAAAATTAAAAAGTCAGTGTCTTTTCTATAGACCAGTAATGAGCAGGCTGATGGAAACAAGCCCATGCACAATAGCCTAAAACCTGAATACTTAGGATAAACCTAATCTAGGTTTTAAAAGGCTTCTACAATGAAAACTATAAAACACGCAGAAAGAGACTGAGGGAGCCACTGGAGGATGGAAAGACCACCCATGCTCATGGATTGGCAGAATCAACATTGTGAAAATGGCTATATTACCCAAAGTGATCTACAGATTTGATGAATCCCATCAAAATTCCAAGGTCATTCTTCACAGAAATTGAAAATTCTATCCTAAGATTCATTTGGAAGCATAAAAGACCCTGAGTAGCCAAAACAATCCTGAGCACAAATAGCAACGCTGGAGGTATGACAATACCTGACTTCGGACTATAGTACAGAGCCAAAATAGCAAAGACAGCGTGGCACAGCCACAAAACGGACACAGAGACCACTGCAGTAGAACAGAAGGTGCAGAAATAAGCCCACACAGCCACAGCCATCTGATTTTTGTCAAAGGTGCCAAAAACATACGTTAGAAAAAAAGACAGACCCTTCAAGAATGGTGCTGGGAAAACTAGATTTCCATATGTAGAAGACTGTACTAGACCCCAGTCTCTCACCCTGGCACAAACCAATTCCACATGCATGAAAAATCTTAAAGTAAAACCAGAACTTTTGAAACTGCTAAAGGAAAACCGGTGGAAAGCTTTGACGACATCAGTTCCTAGGTCACACTTTTCCAAATAGAATCCCAATTGCTCAGGAAATGAAATGAGAATTGACAAATGGGATTGCATCAAATTAAAAAGCTTCTGCACATCAAAGGAAAAAATGACCAGGATCAAGAAATGACCTATAGAATGGAAGAAAGTCTTTCTCAGTTATGTATTGGATAAAGGGTTAATCCGGAATATGTGGAGCTCAAAAAATTAGACACCAAAAGAAAATTAATCCAGTTAGTAAATGGACAAATGAACAGTTTTCAAAAGAAGTCTGGTAAATATATGAAGAAGTGTTCAACATTTTTTAACCGTGAAAAAATGCAAATCAAACACCATTGAGATTCTCTCTCACCCCAGTCAGAATGGCTGTCATTAAGAAAACAAACAGCAACACATGCTGGTGAGGCTGCAGGGGCAAAGGGACCCTTATACACAATGGACATCAGTAGGGAGGGAGGCTCCTTAAAAACTACAAATAGAACTGCCATGTGATCCAGTAATACCACTCCCGAGAACATCCAAAGGATTTACCTACTCAAACATGTATTCACAATAACCAAAAGATGAAATCAGCCTAGGTGCCCAGAAACCAATGAATAGATGAAGAAAATGTGGCACATAGACACAATGAAGTATTATTCAGCCACGAAGAAGAATGGAATTCTGTCTTTTCAGGACAGCGGTTGGAACTGGAGATGATCATGTTGAGGGGAAATAAGCCAGACTGAGAGACAGTGCAGTCTCTCACACATGAAATCCAGTCCATAAAATGAGCAGCAGAGTGTGAAATGGGTTCTGTTTGGGGGTGAGTACCAGTGAGGGGGAGTGCAGAAGGAGAGGGAAGAGGAGGACAACTATGATCAGGTACTAATTTGCATGTATGAGAGTAGAACGAGACTGTTAAGGTTGTTTTGTTTTTAATAGAGGGGTGAGAGGGTTTAAGAAGAGAAGGGTAAATTTGATCAAAGTACATTATTTGCATATTTGCATGTAAGATAATAACACAAGGAAATCCTTTGTACAATTAGTATTTGCTAAGAAAAAGACGATTGGAAAAGGAAGCCTCAAATCCTTGATTCATTTCTTAATCCTTTTATTAATAAATGGCCCCTCAATGCCTGGCATTGTTCTTGGCTCAAGATACATGGCAGTTATTAAAATTAAATTCCAGCTATATGGGAGGTGTAGTAGGAGGATTGAGGTCTGAGGCTGACCTTGGATAAAAGCCTGAGACCTATGTGACAGATAAACTGAAATCAACAAGGGCTGTGGGTGTGACTCAGCAAGTAGAAGAGCAAGCCCAGGGCCCTGAGGTCAAACCCCAGTACCATGGAAAGTAAGATTAGTCCATACCTTCTGCAAGCCCACTCATGTCCTAGTACTGTGTGTTTAGCAAAGGAGGAAATTAGAATAGCTTATGGCACTTCCAGTGAGCTCAGCTGGCTCCTGCTGACTAGTGTCTCAAGTCTCCCAACCCTCTAGTAGTGTCTCTGTAATCCCTGAACATTCTGGAGATCAGGTCGACATTTTGTTCTTTGTTCCATCATCTCTCTTTCCCAGTCTTCTGCCACCTCTGTCGCCAGCATCTCTTCTGTCTGTATGTCGTCACATCTGCACATTCTAAGACAGCCTGGTTCATTTCCCTTGTTTTGTCCTCTTCCCAAGTGCTGTGTAGGATTTTGTTTTTGTACATACTTATTTGCAGATTGTGTTGGTGTGAGCAAGATAAACTTAAGTCAGATGAAATGACTGGCAACAAAGGTCACAGCCGTGCGCTGATTGCACACGTAGAGGTTAGGAAGTGCACACATAGAGGCACACGTGCTTAAACGGACTCTGGTAGATGCATTTAGATATTGGCAGTTTGTATCTCCAGTGGCAAGTGTAGGCTTCTGATACTTGTTCACCAGAATTTTAAAAGTTTTCAACAGTGAATATGAGAATGCAATTTGAAAAGGATTGTTTCTCATTGAAATTTTTCATAATCACAATGTCTGAGAGGGGGTGGGGTGAGAATGTTGCAAGATAGGCAGAGTTGAGACAGAAAACAGCATAGGTAGTTTATTTTATTTAAATATTCATTTAATTTGATATAGTGCACAGTACTAAATTCAAAATACCATGCTGGGTTTGGTATTCAACATTCCTGTGTGTATTATTACATTATTGAATGTATTGGTCTGCATATGTATCTCCATAAACAATATAAGTAGAATTATTTTATATGCATAGAAGTTTTATAAATCCACTTACGTGACTTACACGCATCATTCTACTTTTCCCAGTGTAATGCCTTTTATTTTTTATTATTAGCATATAATAACACTCTGTAATATTATATGTTACTATGTATTATATACTATACTACATATTTTGCACTATATATTGTACTACAGCAGGTGTACAGGGATACATTGTGACATTTGCATATGTGCTTATCATAGATCTTAGTTAGATTCACCCCCTCCACCATTCCCCTTATCCCCTTCTTAAAACATTTTTAACAGGTTTCATTCTTCTGTTTGCAAAATATACCCACCATGTTCACCCTCCTTCACCTTTTCCTTATGTTCTGCCCCCCGCAATACCCACCACTGCAAAAGACCTGTTTTACCCTCCTGTCCTCCTTTTTTTCAGTAGTGTATATTGATAGTCCAAGGGGGTTTCACCCTGGCATCACTTACTCTTTCTCTACCACCTGTTACTCACACCTTACAGGGCATTATGTCATACTTATATATAAATGGACGTTTCAGTAGTTTTCATTCTCTAACATTTTTTTCCCTCCTCCCTCTTGAATTTTGCCCAGGCTGGCTGCACCAGGATCCTCCTATTTATGCTTCCTGCATAGTGGGACGACAGGTGAATGCCATTGTACCCAGTGTTTTTTTCTGTTGAGATGGGGTCTTGCAAACTTTTTTTTTGACTAGACTGGCTTCAAACTGTGATCCTCCTGATCTCAGCCTCCCAAGTGGGTAGGATTACAGGCGTGTGCCACTGGCAATCAGCTTTAACTTTATTTTTAAAGGCAGTTGCTTGTGTATTGCTGCTCTTTATTTTTTTTCTTCCTTTATTTTCTGAGTTTGGGGAAATACAAATGGAGATTTAGGTTGAAGTTGTAAGGTTTGGCTTGAAGTAAGTAGGCTAGCTCAGCTAAACAGGCTGTGAATAAGGTTTGTTGTCTGTAGTGGTGTGTCCTCATCTGGAGCTTGGGTCAAGTAGGCTTCTGTGGAGAGAATGAGCGCATCTGTGAGACATGGTTGGCAACCTTCTGGGTCTGTGCTGCCATCAGGGGCTGAGTGTCCTGAACCTTCCTGTGCAACCCTGTACACACAGCGCCTTAGGCTGTGTAGTGGGCATTATGACCTATCTGCAGGGTCTGCTTATTAGAGGTCTGTGTACAAAGCACTTAGCATGTCCGGCATACAGAAAGTAGTATTTTAATTCAGTACTAAACCCAATTAGACCTGACATTCACCAACTTAGATACTAATTTAATTAAAGCACATTTGCATATTAACCCAAGAAATGAGCTGTGATCATGGGTTTGGAAAGGGCTAGGTGGAGAGAGGTTCTAGAGCTCTTGCCTTTTCTAGGAAGCTTCTCTTGCCTGGACAGTCCAAGGCTAAAATAGTAAATCTTCCCTGCCACAGGGCCACGGGCCGCTGGTGTCACTTTGTACCATGGGCTGTGATGCTGTCACTTTGCACTTTGTTTTCATGGACCCATTGAAAACAAGGACGACTTTAAGGGCAATGGGGTTATCTTATCTCAATCCTTCTACACTGATAGCAAATTGTCCATTATACTGTGGCTTCTAGGCTGTGCTTTACAGGCCCTGCCTAGCTTTTCTGACTTTGTTCCCTGTGCTGTGGTCTTGCTGTGGCATGTGCGCACCAGTTCTGTTCCAGCACTGGGTTTTGTGCTTGGTGTTCCTTGTGCCTCACCCTCCTGTTGCTCCCTTTCTCCCAAATAACCCCATAGCTTCACTCTGTTTCAGCTTAAATGTCAAAAGCTCTTTAGGGTCATCATGTCTGAACCGTTCTCTCTTATGACACTGCCTCGTCTATCTGGGATGGCTTTTTGCTGGCTTACTTTTATGTGTTTCCCTGTGAGAGTGAGAACTACGTTAGGCTAGAAACCTTGTCTACCTTTGAATTTAAGAAGAGGAGAGGGCAGGTTGGCACATTGCCGATTGGAAATGGTAGATGATAATTCTAGGAATCTAAAATCTCAGTCCTTGATGTCAGGTAAAGTCCTGTTCAAGGTGTTCAATAAGCCTTCTGGTAATCGACAAGTGGGCAGTAGTAGAAGTCAGTAGCCACTTCCTGCTTCTTACCTGTCCCTCTGACCTCCCCACTTCTACACCTTTCTCGTAACTGTGTGCAGACTGGCCACTCTGCTGTTCCTGGAAAACTTCAAGCGCGCCTTCTCATGGTGTTTTGTACTTGTTACTTCTGCGTGTGCCGCCCAACTTCCAGCACTCATGCCTCACGGCCTTGCTCAGTTTCTTGGCCTGTTTTCTTGGAAGCGTGTTGAATGGGAAGAGCACAAGTCTGTGCTTTGTCAGTGGGTGTCCATCCTGATGGATGTTCTACACGTTGACTTGGATAAAACATGGCTCTCTAATTGCTGTATTATCTTAAAAGGTCTTTTTTCCTCCCCTCCACGTAGAAAGAAGGGAAAAAAGAGCGAGCTGTGGTGGACAGTGTGCTTTTGTCAAGGCTCTCACAGATCCTGAAAATCATGGTCCCTAGAACATTCTGTAAAGAGGTAAGTCTTATGAAATGATGATGTTACCTGTTCGACTTTGAAGATTCATGAGATTATAACAATCATGATGCTATGGGGGAGTGTTTTGTGTGTAGGTAAAGAAGGTGATTAATTTGACTGACAATCCTCTGGCGTACACGCATTCTACTCAGCAGTGTTTTCTAAGTTTCCATTCTGTTCATGTGAGATGCTGGAACTCCTCAGTGCAGCTTCCTAATGCTCGCCTTTATAATAGGTAAATACTCTGAGCAAAAACAAGACTCATTTAAAAGGCAAGGCTTTTATTATGTTGAGATGTGACCAGTCAGTGAAATGAGATTTGTTTGAGTGCTGCTTCTTAAGATACCCCAGATGGTTCAGCAAGTGATTTGGTTGAAGTAAAATTTTATTAGTTTTTCGTGTACCCTTTTATCCAGATTATCTTATTGGTTTCGATGAACACTTCTAACGGTTACTGAAATATGTGCTTTCATCATCTTTACTCCCTAGCGTTCTCCCAACCAGAACCAGAACCTTTGTCTCCTCACCATGCCGCAGCTGTTCAGCCCCTGAGCCCGATCGTGTTTGCTCCTGTTCTTACCTGGATAGGATAGTGTTCGTTAATTAGTCTTGCTTCCAGGATCTCATTTTGAGTCTTTTCTGCCAAATTTATCTTCTGAAAACATACCGCTTCCCATTGTTAAGATTTTTAAGTGTAAACTTTTCAAGCAATAGCAAGACAAGGATAGAGTGTTCCGTAAGTGCTGTAGCTCGAAAAAAACAGGCCTGTCCTCGGTCACTCGGTGCTTGTTCTTCCCTTCCCCTCAGCGGTGTGTCCTTGAGAAGTTCTAGAAGAAATAATGGGGTAGTCTTTGTCTTTGCCTGATTAGATGAGTTAATTCACATTCCTCAAAGCAAAGAAAGGAAAAAAGCCAAAAATATTTACATTCAAATTGAACCAAATTTATTCTAGTTGGTACAATTTGAGATTTTAATCTGTTAGGTGTTTAAATATGTTTTAACCATTATTGTCATTTTTCACCACTAAAGTTGTGTATTAAAAATAAAAGGATGACTATAGGTTGATTCAGGTCATCTAACTCATACTTCTAGCTTCTGTCATTGACTATGTGTAGGAAGACAAGTCAGTTGAACTCCGTGGGATTCACTTTTCAATTTTGGATGAGAAAGAGTAAATGGTCTGTAAAGCCTCTTACGTTTATATTATACTTTTAAGTTCCTTTTAAAGTATATTTAATTTGACTATAGGTCAAATGTAGCCCAACTGTATTACGCAAGAATGAATAAAGCTTTGAATTTTGAAGCCAAAAATGTTACCAAAGTGATATTTTTTTTTTGAACTTTGTAAAGTACATTGGGTTTACTGTGCCTGGCTTATTTTAGACAGGATATTTGATACTGATTGCTGCCATGCTTGTGTCTCGGACATACTGTGATGTGTGGATGATCCAGAACGGAACACTCATTGAAAGGTACCAGTGCCCCTTCCTCCTATGTGTGGGTTGTTAAGTTGTCTCCTATGTGGACGTTGTCTTTACCAGCAAAATGGGGATCTAAGAGAGGTGAAGGACATGGAAGTCAAACTGCATGTTTGTTCACTGACTTTAGAAATGTGTGTTTCCCCTGTGTCAGGCATTAGGCCAACAGTGTAGGGGTGTGCACAGCAATGCACAGGAGAAACTGTACCATGCTGTGCTGAGCTGACAGTCTATAGAGGGTTAGAGACAGACAGGCCAAAAAGTAAAATGCTGTGTAACAAGTGAAAGCACCAAGTGGGACTCTGAAGAAAGATCATTTATGGGAAAACATCAGCGATTTCAGTGCATGATAGGAGCATGTTTCTTAGAAAACCTTCTGAAGTTAGTGCTTTTTACATTTTTTCTTTATAGTCTTCCTACTTATATTATCCACTGCAACTGACAATTTTGAATTTAAAAACTTAAACAATGTCAATTGGAATATCTTGGGTTGTTACAACCTCTCATCATTTGTCTGTTAATAATGAATTTATTACACCTATTTAAGTGTCAGAGTAAAACTTTTTCTCAGATTTCTGTCTCTTAATATACATTATTGTATCAGAAAATTTCTTAAAATACTTCCTCTAAGGAACTTTTTGAATGACACACCCAGATTTTTAAAATAAAGGCTTTTTCTGTTAGATCCTTTTTTTTATGTATCCATTAAAATTAATTAATTAATTAATTTTTTAACATTAATGAATGTCTTTATTATTTTTTTTTTCATTTTTCTTTTATTATTCATATGTGCATACTAGGCTTGGTTCATTTCTCCCCCCTGCCCCCACCCCCTCCCTTACCACCCACTCCGCCCCCTCCCTCTCCCCCCCCAATACCCAGCAGAAACTATTTTGCCCTTATTTCTAATTTTGTTGTAGAGAGAGTATAAGCAATAATAGGAAGGAACAAGGGGTTTTGCTGGTTGAGATAAGGATAGCTATACAGGGCATTGACTCACATTGATTTCCTGTGCGTGGGTGTTACCTTCTAGGTTAATTCTTTTTGATCTAACCTTTTCTCTAGTACCTGTTCCCCTTTTCCTATTGGCCTCAGTTGCTTTAAGGTATCTGCTTTAGTTTCTCTGCGTTAAGGGCAACAAATGCTAGCTAGTTTTTTAGGTGTCTTACCTATCCTCACCCCTCCCTTGTGTGCTCTCGCTTTTATCATGTGCTCATAGTCCAATCCCTTGTTGTGTTTGCCCTTGATCTAATGTCCACATATGAGGGAGAACATACGATTTTTGGTCTTTTGAGCCAGGCTAACCTCACTCAGAATGATGTTCTCCAATTCCATCCATTTACCAGCGAATGATAACATTTCGTTCTTCTTCATGGCTGCATAAAATTCCATTGTGTATAGATACCACATTTTCTTAATCCATTCGTCAGTGGTGGGGCATCTTGGCTGTTTCCATAACTTGGCTATTGTGAATAGTGCCGCAATAAACATGGATGTGCAGGTGCCTCTGGAGTAACAGTCTTTTGGGTATATCCCCAAGAGTGGTATTGCTGGATCAAATGGTAGATCGATGTCCAGCTTTTTAAGTAGCCTCCAAATTTTTTTCCAGAGTGGTTGTACTAGTCTACATTCCCACCAACAGTGTAAGAGGGTTCCTTTTTCCCCGCATCCTCGCCAACACCTGTTGTTGGTGGTGTTGCTGATGATGGCTATTCTAACAGGGGTGAGGTGGAATCTTAGTGTGGTTTTAATTTGCATTTCCTTTATTGCTAGAGATGGTGAGCATTTTTTCATGTGTTTTCTGGCCATTTGAATTTCTTCTTTTGAGAAAGTTCTGTTTAGTTCACTGTGCCCATTTCTTTATTGGTTCATTAGTTTTGGGAGAATTTAGTTTTTTAAGTTCCCTGTATATTCTGGTTATCAGTCCTTTGTCTGATGTATAGTTGGCAAATATTTTCTCCCACTCTGTGGGTGTTCTCTTCAGTTTAGAGACCATTTCTTTTGATGAACAGAAGCTTTTTAGTTTTATGAGGTCCCATTTATCTATGCTATCTCTTAGTTGCTGTGCTGCTGGGGTTTCATTGAGAAAGTTCTTACCTATACCTACTAACTCCAGAGTATTTCCTACTCTTTCTTGTATCAACTTAGAGTTTGGGGTCTGATATTAAGATCCTTGATCCATTTTGAGTTAATCTTGGTATAGGGTGATATACATGGATCTAGTTTCAGTTTTTTGCAGGCTGCTAACCAGTTTTCCCAGCAGTTTTTGTTGAAGAGGCTGCTATTTCTCTATTGGATATTTTTAGCTCCTTTGTCAAAGATAAGTTGGTTATAGTTGTGTGGCTTCATATCTGGGTCCTCTATTCTGTTCCACTGGTCTTCATGTCTGTTTTTGTGCCAGTACCATGCTGTTTTTATTGTTATTGCCTTGTAATATAGTTTGAAGTCAGGTATTGTGATACCTCCTGCATTGTTCTTTTGACTGAGTATTGCCTTGGCTATTCGTGGCCTCTTGTGTTTCCATATAAATTTCACAGTAGATTTTTCAATCTCTTTAATGAATGTCATTGGAATTTTGATGGGAATTGCATTAAACATGTAGATTACTTTTGGGAGTGTTACATTTTTACTATGTTGATTCTACCAATCCATGAGCATGGGAGATCTCTCCACTTTCTATAGTCTTCCTCAATCTCTTTCTTCAGAAGTGTATAGTTTTCCTTGTAGAGGTCTTTCACATCTTTTGTTAGGTTTACACCTAGGTATTTGATTTTTTTGAGGCTATTGTAAATGGAATTGTTTTCATACATTCTTTTTCCGTTTGCTCATTGTTAGTGTATAGAAATGCTAATGATTTTTCTATGTTGATTTTATATCCTGCTACCTTGCTATAGCTATTGATGATGTCTAGAAGCTTCTGAGTAGAGTTTTTTGGGTCTTTAAGGTATAGGATCATGTCGTCTGCAAATAGGGATATTTTGACAGTTTCTTTACCTATTTGTATTCCTTTTATTCCTTCTTCTTGCCTAATTGCTCTGGCTAGGAATTCCAGTACTATGTTGAATAGGAGTGGAGATAGTGGGCATCCTTGTCTGGTTCCTGATTTTAGAGGGAATGGTTTTAGTTTTTCTCCATTAAATATAATGCTGGCTGTAGGTTTGTCATATATAGCTTTTATAATGTTGAGGAACTTTCCTTCTATTCCTAGTTTTCTTAGAGCTTTTATCATGAAATGATGTTGGATCTTATCAAAGGCTTTTTCTGCATCTATTGAGATGATCAAGTGGTTTTTGTCTTTGCTTCTGTTAATGTGGTTTATTACATTTATTGATTTTCGTATGTTGAACCACCCCTGCATCCCTGGGATGAAGCCTACTTGGTTGTGGTGAATAATCTTTTTGATGTGTTGCTGAATTCGGTTTGCCATTATTTTGTTGAGGATTTTTGCATCAATGTTCATTAAGGAGATTGGCCTATAGTTCTCCTTTTTGGAGGTGTCTTTGCCTGGTTTTGGGATAAGTGTAATACTGGCTTCATAAAATGTGTTAGGCAGTTTTCCTTCCCTTTCTATTTCGTGGAACAGTTTAAGGAGGGTTGGTATCAGTTCTTCTTTAAAGGTCTGATAGAATTCAGCAGAGAATCCATCAGGTCCTGGACTTTTCTTTTTGGGGAGATTCTTGATTGCTGCTTCAATTTCATTTTGTGTTACAGGTCTAGTCAGGTGATTAATTTCCTCTTGGTTCAGTTTTGGATGATCATATGTATCTAGAAATCTGTCCATTTCTTTTAGATTTTCAAATCTATTTGAATATAGGTTCTCAAAGTAGTCTCTGATGATTTCCTGGACTTCCATGGTGTTTGTTGTTATCTCCCCTTTTGCATTCCTAATTCTACTAATTTGGGTTTTTTCTCTCCTCATTTTAGTCAGGTTTGCCAGAGGTCTATAGGTCTTGTTTATTTTTTCAAAGAACCAACTTTTTGTTTCATTAATTCTTTGTATGGTTTTTTTGGTTTCTATTTCATTGATTTCAGGTCTTATTTTTATTATTTCTCTCCTATTTGTTTTGGGATTTGCTTGTTCTTGTTTTTCTAGGAGTTTGAGATGTATCATTAGGTCATTGATTTGGGATCTTTCAATATTTTTAATATATGCACTCATGGCTATAAACTTTCCTCTCAAGACTGCCTTAGCTGTGTCCCATAGGTTTCTGTCTCTTAATATACATTATTGTATCAGAAAATTTCTTAAAATACTTCCTCTAAGGAACTTTTTGAATGACACACCCAGATTTTTAAAATAAAGGCTTTTTCTGTTAGATCCTTGATTTGTTTCTTAGAGAATCTATAGAAAGAGGAAACATGCTTTATTTTATACCCATCTTTTTGACTCATTTGTCCAGGAGAATAAAGAAGTGCACAGTGCTAAAACCCTTCTGCACCCTGAGTGTAGGTGAATTATGCAGCCTTTCAATTCAGCACAGACTTTAAGCACTGAAACCGGTGATCAGCCCCATGCCTTTTTATTTTAATCAAAGTAATATGTGAGCTTAGCTTAAAATCAAGTAGGCTTATGGGACCAAATTATGAACCACATCAGTGCTATGGCTCCCTCCTCCCAGTCCTGAGTGTCCTGGAGCCCTAGTTTTCTGTTCTTATTTGTCATCGTTTACAGCTGCATTTGGCTGTAACATACTGTATCACTGTTAGGAGATGTTCTGGTTGCATGTGTTCCTTCCCTGCCTTAGGAGGAGGGAATTCGCTCTCTGCATTCCTACCACACCCCTGCTCACCTGCTCAGTGTCATGCTGCAGTTTTTTGTTGAATCAAGATTCATTGGTTATGTGATGCTGTGATGCTTCTGTTTATAGCTAAGCCATATTTTGAACTGCAGTCGTTCTCCTTCTACATGGTATTTTGGTTGACCTGGCAGTTACAAATCATAGCTTCTGTTTTGTGCACTTTAGTTTGTCACCTGCTATTCTTGACAATACTGGAACACTGTATGCTGTCATACACACCAGGTGGTCTGTCAGTTTTATGTGTGTTTCCCCACCTGCTCCATGCCCTATTCTTTCCTGTCTTCCTGCTCTGATGAGGATTGTTTCACCTTAGATACAGTGGGTAGACACTTTGTGTGAACAGCGTTTATCATTACTTAGGCAGGGATTTCTTTCAGCTTCCTCTTCTGCATTCAACAGTCTTTTCTGAATGTTTTATGATTTTCTCCTCAGTTGACTTTCTCATTTTGGCACATGATGGTGTTCTGAGGAAGAGTACGAGGGAGATAAAGGTTTGAGACCTCATAGATCTGAAAATGTCTTCTACTTCCATGCTAGCTAATCAGTTAGGTGTGTTTATGCATTCCAAGTTAGAAACCATTTCTCACGAAAATTTCAAGAGCATCACTGCTGCTGCTAGCTCTCAGCCTGGCTGCAGGACACCTGGGATCCTTGGTGGCATTTTGAGCAGTGCCACCAGTGACTGCTTCAGTTAACCTTCTCCCAACTACTGACTCATGTTGGGTGCTGAGGCCTGCTCCCACTCCCATTGCCCTTCCTCAGTGGGGATTCTGTCCTCTCCTTCCCACAAAAGCTTTTTAAAAGTCAGTTTTTAATTTTTGAAGTTGATGATGATGACTAGCATTTGAAAGTTTCACTGCACACTGATGAACTTTCTCATCATTCACTGGCCGGGCTGAGGTGGGCTCTTTTCAACCCGAAGCTCATTAATTCTAGACAAAAATATATGTGTTAAAAAAAACTTCCTATTTAAAAAAAAATTCTTTGTTGACTGTTGAACCCCCTGGACCAATCATCTGATTATCTTTAAGTTTCTCTACTGTTGTCCTTGCTGACATTTTACTCTGTTTTCTGGGGCATTTCTTTAACTGTTGTCCAGTGGACTTTTGTTGTCATTTTATTTTCAACAGCTGTCTTTTGTGGGCTGCTCATTTTCATTGTAACCATGCCTTCTAGGATGCAGTGTTTTTAATTCAGGTTTGTTGAGTGGTTTGGTTGGTTGATTCTGCTTTTATCTGCCAGCGTTGTTTCTGTTTCCTTCATGGTCCTTGTCATTTGTGTTAGGGAATTTCTTCACGAAGTCTGTGATTCCTGACCATGAACCAATATTTAAAAATGAAGACCGTGAAAGACAAGAGTTAGGGACTTGCTTGCTGGTGTCCCGGAGGGGAGATTGTGACAGCCGTGTGTGTACCCTGTGGGGGATCCTCTAACAAACATAACCGGGACATGTGTTCATTGTCGCTGGCTGGCGTTAGCACTGGGGGCTCCATTGTGATCACTTGGTTCTGTCTTTAGAAGCCTTGTGCATCTGAGTCCTTTGTATTTGATGTACAGAGACAGTGCCGCCGTCTTTCCACATAACTGTAAAATTTTATCTGTGATTTTAAATGCCTCATCTGTTGATAAAAATATAGTCTCCCCCACTCTAATATTGTTGGTTACCTTGTGTGCGTCCATGTGAACGTGTTGTCATCTTAGTGTCTGTGCAGACAGTCACATGCTGTAAGGAAGGCTGTGCAACAGTGGCAGAGTCGAGTCGAGAAGCAGTTTATTTCTTAAAATGTTTCCTTTTTATTCAGGTGTTGTAATTTCATACTACAGTAATCAAAAGGATAATACTAATTTTCTAAATTAGAGATTCTCACCTTTAATTGGATGTATGCTAATTTCGCTTTTCTTAAGCAAGCACTGTTTTTTCTAACTATAAAGATACATTTTATCTTCCCCATTTGGTTACAATCTGCACTTTTAAAGTTACCAAGTTACTTTTCTTTTCTAAAGATCCTTACATATTTTGGAGTAGTGATTAGGACTGGTATAAAATTACTCTTCATTAATTATTATTTTCCTTTTGCAGTGGAATAATAAGCAGGAATGAGGCTTTATTCAAGGAACCATTTTTTAAATTTGTGGCTGCTACTCCCATGGTAAACTGTTGCTGAGTGACAGCATGTGCTGTGCTGGGGCTGTGCCATGCTGAGAGTTTCACAGTTTGGGCAGCGCTAGCATGCTGTGGTTTATGTAGTTTGTTTGAATGGGTTTAGCTTATTGTCTAAGCATTTTGTATGGTTTTAGCTGCTTAGTGGTTCTAATATCCTTGTTACTATAAGCAGCATTTTTGTATGCGTCCATTTTAACTTTACTCTAGTTCAGCTTTTTTAAAAAGTGGTTTTTGCTTTTTACAAGTTCAATCAAAATTGAATCTAATTTTCCCATTAGCTTTCCGAAAAGTATCAAAAGGAAATGCTATGTGCCATAACCCTTCTCGGGGGGATACGGTGATCACATTATATATTAAAGTTTTTTTGTGTGTGTGGCACAGGGTTTTGAACTCAGGGCCTCCCGCTTGCCAGGCAGACGCTCTACCACTTAAGCCACTCCCCAGCCCTATATCAAAATCTTTGAGAAGGTCTTTGATGAAGACGTGTGTTAGCTTTGTTTACCTCAGATTTCCTCAAATATTTACCTGCATGCTCATGAAAAGGAAGTTATCGCCCTATCATATATATAGCACCATATTTTTGATGGCAGCTAGGTTTAGGTTACTTAGTGCAGCTTTTCTGAAAATTTATTTTATTCTGTTTGGGGATATGAATAGGAATTCTTTGAATAACAGAGTTCTGTGATGTATCACAGAAAATCAAAGACGCATTCTCCTCAAAGGCCCTTGATTTATGTGATGGAATAATGGCTTGCCAACTTTTGGTAATGTACTGTATGCTTCACTTTAAGTTCTTTTTTTAAATTCAATTATTCGTATGTGCATACATTGTTCGGGCCATTTCCCCGCCCCACTTTAAATTCTTAATGTATATTTTAAAAACGGGCGTTTGTAAAAGAAAAGCACATAAAGAGGGGGCTGATGTAGCTGAACTGTGTCTAGGGAGCTGAAGCCTCTACAGAACTGTCTGAGGCTTCGCTGACGTCTCTTTTAGTTCCGGGACCCACAGGCAACACCTTACCACTCGCCTTCTATTTAGGTAAAATTTTCCCAAAGCGCAGCTGGCCCGTTCTTGGCCGTTATTAACACCATAATGCTGAGCTGGTAGTTGCAAAGGAACCCTAATGCCCATGAAGCCTTAAATACTTGCTCTTGACCTTTAAAGTGGAAGTTTGCCAGTCAGCTCCCCCATGGGTCTGTCTTTCTGTCATCATTAGTTCATGACAGTGAAAATTGAGGATGTTAAAGTATTTAAAAACAAGCCAGCACTGCTTTGACTTATCCATAGCATCCAGCACCCATTCCTGGGACCTTGAAGCTGTGGATTGTTTGACTAGACCCCCAACAAGGCAGGGGTCTGACTTACACCTTGCACTGAGCTATAGCCACAGCTCTGGTTACCATTCCTACCTAATTTTGTTATGAGAGTGAAATTTAAGCAGACTGTTTTACAACCATAACATTTCAAAAGTTGCAAAACCAAAAAAAGATACTATGGTACATTAACCATTTAGAGGTCATTTAAATAGCAAAATATTACATTGTAAAAGACCCGTACAATTGTATTAAAACAGTAACATGGAGGGAAAAACCTACCAAAAGTTGCAAACCTATTTTTTAAAGAACATGTTTTCCTCTTTTGACTTGGTTGAAATGTCCAGAGACTAATTTAGAGCTTCACAAAGTTTTCTTGGTGTTACATTTTGCTTCTTTGACAACTAATGCATTGCATGTGCTGGTTTGCAGTTGTATCATTGGTCGTAGCAGTAAAGATTTCAAGAGGTACTTATTCAACTTCATCGCTGCCATGCCTCTCGTAAGTTCATTCCTTTGCAATTTTACTGATTTAGAGGGACAACTTCATCTTATAAAAATCTCCGAGGATTTTACTTATTAAATTCTTTAAAGGTAATGATATCAAATTCTAGTTTTGAGTTAAGTTTTGTAACTTAAAGCCTAATTTTTCATTGTAAATGTTTATGCTAGACAGAAAAATTTTTTTAAATTATGTTTGGCTCAATTTCATTGACAGTGTACATGTATACATACGTGTTTTCGTCTTCTTTCTTTTAACCTTCAGTAAGGTTTAATCCAGTGCTCGCAGCATCCTTTTAGATGTCAAAAGTACCCCTTTCCCAGTCATGGCACCTGAAATATCCCCAGATTTTGCCAAATAGGGGGTAAGATGGGGGCAAGTCACCTTGGTTGAGAGCTGTTGATTTAGGCCATAAAGTATTGTAACTTGAACCACTATTAAGTTAAATTGAAACTTAATATTAATTATTAAATTTATGATCTGAATTTCTTAGAAATGAATTGTTTAGTCTAAAACATAAGTAATTTTCCTCATTTGGTGTTTATTTTTATTTTATTGGCCCTATAAAACTTCTAGTGTTCTAAATTTCAGGGTAGAAAAGGGAAGTTTGGTTGTAAAATCCAATTAAATTGAAAATATAAAAGAAACTTTGACTTTAAAAGCTTGATAATGGACATACAGAGTTTTTAGACCTTTTAAAACAAAAAGTTGCGATAAACAACAGATACCAAAGATCAGGAGCCAGCAGACGACCATGCTGGTCGTGCAAACACTACCTCATAAAATTTAGTAGACGTGAATTTGAAGTGTGAATGTTGTTCAGAGATGTGAAAGTATGAAGTTTGGTACAGTGATGAAGAACATTAGTAAAGATGGTTCTAGAGGTAATCTGGAAAACAGCATTAGTTGGTATAAAGCATCCTGTTTTCTAAACAAAGGCACATATAACGTGTTTACACTTTGCTGTCTAGGGTTGCCCTGCTGATACAGGAAACAAAGGCATAAGCTTAAGAGTCTGAGCTTCTAAAATCAGGTCTTTGTATAGAATAGGTCAGTTTGAGGCCAGCCAGGCAGTTAGTGAGACTCCCATATCCATAAAAAAGCTGGGTGTAGTGGTGATCTTGGCCATGTGGGAGGCATAGTTAGAATTATGGTCCAAGCCAATCCCCATGGGAAAATGAAAGTCCCTATCTGAGAAATAACTGAAGCAGAAAAGGAACTGGAAGCATGGCTCAAGTGGTAGAGCACCTGCTTAGCAAGTGCAAGGCCCTGAGTTCAAACCCCAAGAAAAAGATTGCAAAATACATTTCATGATTAATAATATTTTAAAGTTAAGTTCCATGTAAAGTTTAATATAAAGTAATTAAAGCCAGTTGCATTTGGTTTAGTTTGTTCTTCTGTATTGCTACAAATTTTAGGTAAAACAGAATTGAATTGTATCAGTTACAAAAATCATAGGTTTGGGGTTACAGTGAGCGAACGACAGAGAAGTAAATCACAGAGCAGTAACAGTGGTTGTTTGTTTAGATCTCCCTGGTCAACAACTTCCTCAAGTATGGGCTAAACGAGCTCAAGCTCTGCTTCCGAGTGAGGCTTACCAGACACCTCTACGATGAGTACCTCAAGTAAGTGACCGCCCGCTGCCAAGTTACATTTGTGATGCTCAGACACAGACCTTGTTCTTACTTATGGAGCTGTTGTTCAAGAAAACAGCCTGCAAGTGGAAGCGTGTTGGGCACCAGCTGAGTAATGTGGAGTCTAGTCCGGTTCTTCCACTGCTTGGCAAGCTGTCGCCCTCTGAATGTGTGTCCTCTCTGCAGTGACGAGGGCAGTGCTTAGGGTCTCCAAACTTTCTGTTTGTGTGTATGCACTAGGTGGCGTAATGTGAATATTTTTTGTTCTGTTTTCGAAATGACTGTCGTAAAATTTTCTTCCTGCTGTCTTAGAGCGTTCACATATTATAAGATGGGAAATCTGGACAACAGAATCGCCAACCCAGACCAGCTGCTTACACAAGATGTAGAGAAGTTTTGTAACAGTGTAGTTGACCTGTACTCAAATCTTAGCAAGGTGAGTCTCCCTATTCTTAACACATTCTGTGTTGACTTCACTGAATTTTGAATCTAAGCAAGTTTATGTAGAATTGATTGGATGGGCAGAACAGCAGCATATCAAAGTTCAGTGCTTTTATAAGAAAATTAGAATGATTTAGTAGTTTTAAGTCTATGGTCATTTAGTTTCCATTATGGTTGTTTGGCCCAGAATTGATAATTTAGTGCCTTGTAAGGATTTCGTAAGAATTTTGCAGGCTGATTTCAGTAAAAGGATAGAAATTTGAATTCTCATCTCTTTTCCTATGTACTTCTGCATCTGCTGGAAATTGACCTGTCAATTCATGCTTTCATTCAACACCTATAAAACTAGAGGGGCTTCCTACCCACGTCTCTTCTCTGGATTGCTCTAATTCTAATAAATTGTTGGAAGTTTAAGTTTTTCTTTGCCGTTTCCTCCTTTCTTAGAGTGCTGCCAAAGCTCTTGGTTCTGATAGGTCTTGAACCAGATTGCTGTCTTCCTGTTTGTATCCGCCCTCTTGCCAGCCCCGCACTGTTTCTGTAGTCTTCCCTGTAAGCCACTGTCTCTGTCGTTATCTGCTGTGTTGATAGCAACACCTGTATGCTAGTCCACCCGGCCCTCTTATCTGAGGTGCTCTTCTCTCACTCTCTTTCACATGGCTGCCCTTGGTCTGGGGTGGGAGGTGGCTCAAGCTGACTTGATCGTGCTCTCTTTGCTTCTGTTCACAATCAACCAAGGTGTTCAGTCTCTTGACATGAAGACCGTAAGTGTCTGGGTCACGATGGAGCACCAGGAGTGCTCCTGCTTCAGCCATGTGGACGGAGGAGAGGCAGCTCTTGGAAAAGTTATGTGTACTCACAAAAACTTTCCTCCTTACTACAGGGCCACTAGGAAGGAACTTTTCACTGTGCCAGACTTGGTCCTTTCCTTTAGCGCTCCAGAAGTCTTTGATGACTGGCCCCAAGCTCTAGAAACTGACAGCTGCTCACAGCTTAGTGATTAGCTTTCACCACACTCGAAGTTTGCTCTCTGGGTGGATGGTGCGCATAAAACTTGTCTTGTGCTTTACGGCCCGTTCATAGACAGATGATTGCATATTTTTTACATGTTGGCACTTGAGCAAAACTGTGTCTCAGTTCTTGTCACTGCCATAGAGATGTGTTACTAAATTAATAGTAGTGTTGCTCTACAGTGTATTTGCTGTTTGAAAATTCTTTGATTTAAATTATGAGTTAATTTTTGTCAGTAATTTTTAAATGTACTTGAATTTTGCCATACTTTTGTCTTCTTGATAATACTTAAGACAAAAAGAAAAGAAAAGGTGCCTCTTAGTTGTAACTCATTTGTAAACCGAGCCGTGTACCATAGTAATGGAGTTGACCGAGGCAAAGTGAAAGAGCAGCCTGGGTTCCTTGGAAAGCACTTCAGAGTAATGCTGCTAGTGCCGCAGTGCCATTTTGTACGTAGCGTGTAACGTGTGTAGTTATCAGTTCAGCAGTCTAGTTCGTAGGTCCAATTCTTGAGTTGCCTCTGCACGAGAAGCAGTACCATTCTAGTTCCAGGAGCTTGAGTTTTATAATGCAAGTTTAGGATCAGAGGCCTACTTGATTATTTTAGTATTTAGTTGTGGTAAATGAGTAACACACTCAAACAGTATTAGAGTAGGAAGGCCCTCTTACTTTACAGGTGAAGATGTCTAGAAACCAGGAAAGTGGGTAGTGGATGTGGGGTTACAACTCAGTAATCTTGGTCAGGGCCTCCATACACACTGAGAAGTCGGTAAGTTAATTATGGTCAGTTATCACTGTAGAGCTGTCAGAGCTGGTGGAAGACAATGTGTTTCTTGCACTAGATGGTCAGTAAGAACTGTTCAGCCTATCTCCATTGTGAGGTACATGCCATTGGTCCATTCTGCACGAGGAGAGTGCTGCATGAAGAGTAGCCTTGTGTGTTCAGTGTGCTGTACTGGCTAGCAGTCTAGGCAACCCCTCTAGTTCTTAGCTCTAATTCTCTTTGTTCTATTGTCTATTTTGCAGCCATTTTTAGATATAGTTTTGTATATTTTCAAGTTAACAAGTGCAATTGGCGCTCAGGTAAGTCTACTTTTATTCTCCCTCTTAAATTGCCATAACACCCTGTAGTGACTAGCGTGATAGTTTAAGGATTTTTTGTACAGACATGTTTTCACATCGTGTGGCTAATGTAGTCTGGTTATAAAACAGTATAGTACTAGAGATTTTAAAAGCATTATTACTTGGCTTTTTAATATCCCTTTGGTCAGACACTTGGAAACATTTTATGGCAGTAACCGTATATGCACTTATCACAAAGTAATGTCTAAAAAGAAAATTGAAGGCAGCCATTCTAGTATAAAATTTGAATGTTGAAATATGAGCAATTCATTGGAATGGGCATAGTAGTTTCAAGCATATTTTATAATATAAACTGTTGGCTGTCCCAGGAGCCTTCCAGCCCTGGCTCTGACGTTTGTGATAGCACGAGTCACCTTAAGTTTTCTGTGTGCGTCTCATGGAATTCTTAGTCAGTTAGTCCTATGGAATCTTGCTGTTCACATCTGTAGCACTCTGTACAGTAGTGTGGCTTCATGTGCGTATGTGTACATGTGCATGCATGTCTTCTTGGCAGGTGGTTAATTAATATGTGCTGGCTTCTGTTGCTTTCCACAACACTGCAGAAAGTGGTTTTTACTGAATGTTTTGTCTGTCCTTTTAATTCTTTGATTAAGGTTTAATCGTTGTCAGAATTTACTGTTGTGTGTGAGAGTGATGACTTAGCCTCTCTTGTGTCTGTGCTGGAGTATTGTCCTTCTTATGTTCATGTGTGTTTACATGTTACTTAATTCTGCATTTCCTTACAGGAGTTTTAGCCATTTTTTTGGTCCATATTTGCAATGGTTGTGGAAGTGCATTGAACGAGCCAGGTGTAATTTTAAAATCTTGGACATCCACTGTTTTTCACATATACTATGCTAGAGAGTAGAAATAAAGTGTTCTTTCTGAGGACAAATTGCAATATAATGAAAGAAGTCATTACACTAGCAATGATAATGAAATATAATGGAAGTTTCAGGGAAGTACTTAGTACCTGGAAGAAAAGCTGATATTTGAACTGTTTTAAGGAGATAAGTAAGTGCCCATTAGATATGTCAAACTTGCCAGACATAAAACCACCATGCTGAATGGCAGTTCAGGAAACAATTTTTTGGTATGGCAGAACATAGGGTACATTCAGAAAGGAAAGAAGGGCCTACAATGAGCCTGGAAAGGTAAGCTGGAAGCTTCTTAGATGGTCATCGGGTGACGAGGTCATTTGCAAAGTTAGAAAATGCATTAGCTGGATGCAAGGAGCTCCTGCAGGGCAAGGCAGGAGAGCTTGCTTGGGAGAATTGAGCTTTAGACATTGGCACACTGCAGGTGAGATGAGGTGTACGGTACTTGCTTGGCAATAATGTCTGAGTTCCTAAGTATGGTGGGACTAGCGGTGTACATTTAGGGTGAGAAGAGACCTAAGAAAGGAACCTGGGGGAATACTAATGTTCAGATAGGAGGCAAAAAGGGGTCTGAGATCTGTGTGGGGTCTGAGAGAATGTTAAGGAGAATTCCAACAGAAGAGTGTCAGATACCACAGAAAAATGTGAATTTAAGTACAAGTTCTCTGTGGGCAACTGAGCAAGCTGGGGAAGAGCTGCAGAGGCTGGAGAGCAGGTGAGTAGAGGAGTGTAGACTACCGAGTGTTTTCTCAGGAAAGAAACTGGAGACAGTTACCAAAGGATCAGCGACTGGGAGTCACGGGCGTTAGCTATAGAAATTGCACACGTTTGCACCGAGGAGGTTTTGTTGTAATGTCCTTCGTGTATCTTATCTTCCAATAATGACAGGGACCAGCATGTATGATGGCCTACCTGCTGGTTTCTGGGCTATTCCTGACTCGACTTCGAAGACCCATTGGGAAGATGACAGTGACGAGCAAAAGTATGAAGGTGAATACAGATATGTCAATGCCCGGCTTATCACAAACAGGTATGCTGCAAACCCATTTCATAGAGAGTGATGTCATTCATGTGGCCTCAGAAAAGCCTGTCTTTACTTGTTCTGAAGTGTATGTTATAGAGAAGCAGTCCTCCATGCTTCAAACCTTTTTCCTGATAACCTTGTGACATCTCTGATCACCATTTGATATGTCCCCTTGACTCACTCTGTATTAATTTCATTTTAAATTTAGTTATGACATAATTAAAATTCAAATTTGCAGATAATATTTTTTCAAAAAACATTTTGACTCAGTTTGCCCACAAACTTTACTTGTTATTTATTTCTTTTAAGTCAGGGTTTTGTTTTGTAACTCAGGCTGGCCTCAAACAAAATCCTCAACTTCCCAAGTACTGTGCTTATCGTCAGGCACCACCACACTCAGCGTAATGTTTTAAATTTGAGTATTGCTCAGTAATTCACTCTCACAGCTTGTGTTTCTACCCATTTTTCTGATAGTTTTTTGTTTGTTTGTTTTGTTTCTGATAGTGCTGGGATAAATTAAACCCAGTGTCTTGTGCTACACTCCTAGCTCAGATAGCTTTAAAGCCTAAAATAGGAAGAAAAAAATGTAGGCTTTAAAGCCAGCCATACTAGTTTCAAAATCTGTCCCCTTTCACTCTTCAAGGATGTAAGATTTAGCAAGTTATTCACAGCCTCACACTTCTTGCTTACAATAGGTAATAATACCATTATGGGGATTAAATTTGATACTGTGCCTCTTCTAGCTCAGTTTTATTGTCTTTATTGATCTGTCAACTTTCATTCAATTTTGAGGGTCCTAATACTTATTGAATACTCTAGATTACTCTATAGGAATTTGTGAAATTTCTTAGAAAATTACTCTCTTCAGGGTTCCCTCTTCCTTATTTGCTTGGGGCTAGCTTTACATATGGAGTTTTGTGCCCTAGGAGGCTGGGGACTAGAGGATTAAGCAGAATGGTAATGTGCAAAATAAATGGAAGGTAGTATAAGGTAGGCTGTTCTTAACTGTAAGAACAAAGTCTGACTCAAGAGTCTCCAACCATAACGACATACCTGCTTCACCCAAGAAGCCATAAGATACAACAGGTCAGGGCTCTGGCTCTGGTTGGATGTCCTCTTGACTCTGCCCACTTATAATCCTTCTTGTGATCTCAAGGTGGAAGAAGCAATGCTGGTTTCACCAGCCTCCCTTCCTTGCAAAAAGGTCAGAAACAAAAGAGGGCGATGCTTTTGGTTTTCCTTTAAGAGAGCAAAGAACCCTTACTGGAAAAGATATATAGAAAAGTCCCATGGCCGACTTTGCTCACATCTCACTGGCCTGAGCCTGAAGCAGTTCCAGCAAAGTGATTGGCTTAAATCAGGGGGAACCCTCCCCTCTGAATGGGGTTGAGACCAAAGCATAGAGTGCACAGAGAAGGATGGAGAGCTTTACGAAAACTTGGGCCCCCAGGAAGACTGTCTTGAAGAGAATCAATATTGTGTAAGAAGTTGCCAGCGTCAGCGGGTATTCATTCCTTCAGGTTTTTGACTGTCACCGGAGGACTCAGGTGAGGAGAGTCCTTGCCTCTCTTCCTCTGTTGGCTTAGAGTGTAGAGGAGGTAAAGGACATGAGAAAAGCAGCTGATATAGCTGTGGCGTTGTGGGATTCTCTTACCCTGGGATTCTGGTCCCTGGGGCTCTTAACACCGAGAACCACAGGCCAAATGTCATGCACCTTTATGGGAAGTTCATTTTACTTGAAGAGGTTGAGATAGGAGATAGCTTCCTTTTACAATGGAATGACTACAGCTGCATTTTGGAGTGGAGTATAAAACTCACATAAACTTTTAAGGAAAAATACTTAAGAGAGCATGCTTACTGAAGGCTGTTTGAGTGGGGATACATGGAGTTTTGTGCTGTGAGAGGTACTTCTGCGACGGGGTACGTCGTACTTGCATTGCAGGAGGACTGTAGCTCCTGACTTGCTAGCTACGTGACTTTAGCAAATTTGCTTAAATTGAAGCTTTCTTCATCTGGAGATTCTCTCTCTTTCCTAGTCAGATCCTTGTGGTCTTTGTGGACTCATTCAAGGTAGCTCAGGAAAAGGGGAATTGTGAGGATATGGTGGGCTTCCAAGAATAAGAAAGAAATTGTGGTGCATATAGGACTCCTGGGAGCTGGTTCTGGGAAGCTGCCAGAACCTAGCCTGCATTTCTGTTTTTCAAAGGCTGTATGTCAAGGCATTGCTACCTGTGTTTTTCTTACTGTCATTCTTTCCCTTCACTCCTGTTTGGGTCTGTACTTTAACTTACAGTCTACAATGTCTGTCCTAGCCATGTCTTTCTGGGTATTGTGGCATCTTCCTTCATTGTCTTATTTCAGGTTTTTGAGAGTTAAGCCCATCATACCTTTTCTGGTATGCCAGGCTACATATGGCATAAGTTGTAGTCCAGTCTGTGGTTCATTGAGGTGTACACTTCTGTGTTCTGATAGCTGAGAGTGGATTGCAAGTACAATCCCTGGCTTGAGATGCCTCAAAGATGTCCATTGAAGTACAAATGTTTAGTCATCAAATACAGTGTTTCAGTTATTTTTCAGGCTTAGGCAATATTGCAATTAATTGCCAAATCCTTTTCTTTAACAGTGAAGAAATTGCCTTTTACAATGGGAATAAAAGAGAAAAGCAGACAATCCACTCAGTCTTCCGAAAACTGGTAAGATAACATAATTGAGCCTTGGGTATTTATGGAAAGGGGTGTGTGTGTGTGTGTGTGTGTGTGTGTGTGTGTGTGTGTGTGTAAAGTATCTATCTATATATCTTGTGTACATAAGGGTACACATTTTAAATTAAAACTAGAGATAAAAACTATCCTATCAGCATATTAAATTGCCCATTTATAAGAACGGTTATGTTTATTAAAATACTTGGGTATATTTTTGCAGTAGTTGCTTAAGGAGTCTTATTGATAAGCACAGTGATGCTGTGTGTTCTGTAGCAGTCATGCAACACAGTAAAGATGCGTGAGTAGAGTGGGCTTCAGCAAAGTTTCTCTGCAAAGGAGGAGATAGCTTGAGTATATTTTCAACTTTCCAGACCTTGGTCAGCTGTGTTGGTCAGTGTTCTAAAAAGCTTTAATTACAGCAAGTGCATACTGGATTTGGATGGTGGGTCATAGTTTGCTGACCTTTGATGTAGAATGTAAACTTTGTTCCTCATGAAAGCTGTGCTTCTCTTTTTATTTACTTGCTACTTGAAAAATTTGAGTTCCTGTAATTTTATTCAGTATTCACTCAAAGACATTGAGTGCCTTCTAAGGTGCTTAGTGGCCATCCTCCCTGGGTGCAGATGATAATTGCATAGTGAATGTGCTGGTTTGAATTCTGCCTCCAGGGAACTCACATTTTAGCTCAAGTTATGGAGTTAAGCTTGTCCTTTAGAAAAGTAAAGGAAGTTGCTAAATTATTTCAGAAATTGGACTTTGGCTCACCCAGTGGAGCATGCTTGAGGTTTTAGATCACTGTCTCAAGTCACTTAAGGCCATGTTTTGGAGGACGACTGGCCCCTGCAGGGGCCTTAGGTATCTGCAGCACAGCCAGAAGGAGCACAGTGGAGCCCGTGCAGCAGATCGTGCACTGCCTTGAACAGTCTGAAGGACAGTTGGAGAACCCTAGGACTCCAGAATGAGAAGCGTTTTTAGATTTGGATGTTGACATGCTGTGTGCTCAGATCGAAGCTCTAGATGCAGCTGTGTGGACTGCAGTATTTGCATCAGCACTCTGACCAGGGCAGGTGTGCTGTCACATTGAGAGAAAGCACGGACCAGGTGCCTGCCACAGGCAACCACTGGCTGTTTCTTTCAGATTTGCTCATCCTTCGCTATTTTCTTTCGTTGTTGATGAGCTCCAACAAGCTGGGGGCGGTTACATACTAGGGAAACAGTGGTGTTAAAGTTGTTCATGTCATTTTTGTTGTGCATGCATAAAAATGATTGAATGACGTGTTTGCACCTGCGCTGTGACCAGCACTGTGTGGCAAAGTGTGGGGTGCAGTGTCATCAGAAACCATAGGCACCCACAGGATTTTGTTGGATAAATGGACTATCCAGTTGGCTTTATCCTCATGGTAAATTAACTTTTTATATATTAAAAAACTCATTTTGTTTTTGTGTTTTGCCAGGTGGAGCACCTACATAATTTCATTTTCTTTCGGTTTTCTATGGGCTTCGTTGATAACATAATTGCCAAATGTAAGTGTGTCTTAAAAGAGCTGGTGTAATGAGATTTGCGGAAAAGTCAAGCAGTGCATGTTTTAACACCACTGTGTTTCAGACATTGCCACTGTGGTCGGTTACCTGGTGGTCAGCCGCCCTTTCCTAGATCTGACTCACCCTCGACATGTCAGGAGCACACATTCGGAGCTTCTGGAGGTAAAGCGGGAAGCAGTCACGTGAGCGTGTATGCGTGAGCCCCGTTTTAGCATCGGAAATGTAAGTGCGTGTCTTTCCATTTCAGGACTACTACCAAAGCGGGCGGATGCTTCTGCGGATGTCTCAAGCGCTGGGCCGCATTGTCCTGGCTGGGCGCGAGATGACTAGACTGGCCGGGTAAGGCTGACGGTGAACAACCCGCAGAGTAACTTTTTCTCTCTTCCTTTTGGTGGAGCTGGGGATTGAACCCAGGACTTCATGCTTCAAAGCAGGTGCTCTGCTGCTTGAGCCACACCTCCAGTCCATTTTGCTCTGGCTATATTGGAAATGGGGTTTCTTACACTATTTGCCCAGGCTGGCTTTGAACAGTGATCTTCCTGATAGCAGCCTCCCAAGTAGCTGGGATTACAGGTGTGAGTCACCAGCACTCAGTAGCAGAGTAGTTTTTTTAAAAATATGTTATCCTTTATGACTCTGCCCAGTTACGATAAAGAGTCAGCCTTTCCTTCTCTAGGAAGCTGTTTTTGATAGACAATGGAGGAAGATTTTTCTCTGACATGAACTTTTCCTGCTTCCTGAAGATAGCTGTTGTCAGCCTTGTGCTAGAGCCGGGTGTTGCATGGGTGACAGTGTGGATGAGCTGACAAATGAAGAGTCAGGACAGTCTAGTCCTGAGTCACAGCAGTTCACCTCAGTGGGTAGAATTTTCTCATTTGAACTCTTTTGTTCGTCACTATAGGTTTTTCCCTTAGATTTTGATACTGGCAACTTAGTAAAGTGAATGAACAGAGGTAGATTTTAATGAACTAAAAATGACAAGTTAATTTGTAGGTTCAGTTGTAAAGTTGTTCTTAAATGGGAAGACATTAGATATTTCAGTATTTAGAACTCTACCATAAAGGGCGTAGTGTGGGATTTAAAAAAGAAACCACTGTAACATAAAAAGCGCCATACACTTGAGCTCACCTGAGGAATTTGGTGACTTGGTGTCCTAGTCACCATCTTCATGCTTCCTCTTTATTCCTTCTTCCTGCTGTGACATGTTAGGTCTTCATGGCAGATAGACATTGTGAACCTCTGTGAGGCTTCTCTTGCTCTGGAGAATGCTGACATTCGTTGTGCTTGTTAATAGCTTTTCTTTATAGTTCATGGCGTTGTGGGCTGGGTCTCATCTTTGAGGAGGTTCTTCATTAGTGTGTGATTCACACTGCAATCTACATAGTTCATGATGAGTATGTAAACAAGTAATGCACCTGTGAAACCATCACCACCGTCAAGACCATAAGTGCATCTATCCATCATCATCCAAAGTGTCCTGTAGGAGGTTTCTCTTCCTTGTTCAAAAAAGTCCCATTTTGCTTCTCTGATGCAGAGAACTTTCTCTGGCCTTATGTCATTCTCATGCTCTACAGTCTCTTGTCATTGGTCCTTTCTCTGTTTTAACACAGTGATGTCCATGTAACAGCTCCTCCTCAGAAAAGAAAGGTGCACTGATGCCCAACTCCTCCATCTCTGGGAGGCCGTGTGCATTTGGCATGCATCTAGAATGTTCTTTCCTTGATAGAGATGCCATCCTTCCATATGATGTGCAGTCACCCCACGCAGTGCACACAGCCACATTGAAAATCCCCTTCCTGTGAAACCTCTGCCCTTTCCCACGTTCCTGCTTTCTTAGGAAGCGGTAGAGCAGGCACGTTCTTAATCTTTCAGAGTGCCTCCCTTAAACTCAATGGGACGTTTAGAAGCTTCAGTCACACTTGTGTGACTAAAGAATGTGACAACAGTCTGAAGAACTATGCTTTTCTTTTTTAAAATTGTAGTTTTACTGCCCGGATCACAGAGTTAATGCAAGTACTGAAGGATTTAAATCATGGCAAATACGAGCGCACGATGGTGTCACAGCAGGAAAGGGGTAAGTATGAGTGTCACAGGTTGAGCTCACAGCTCAGTCCTTGCTGATGTGACAGGATGTGTTAACTCTGACTTTCCCCTTAGGTCCTGAAGGAGTGCAGCTCAGTCCCTTGATACCTGGTGCTGGAGAAATCATCAATGCAGACAATGTTATAAAGTAAGTGCAGAGGAAAGGCTCCACGCCACAGGCATCACGGCCCTTCATGTCTGATTTAAAAAGGAATGTCTCAGAAACGCCTCGAGATGCCATGGCACAACGTTGTGTATGTTTGAGCAATATAACGTAGCGTTTTGATGTCAAGTATACATTGTAAAATGACGACCACGTTCTAGCTAATTAATGTGTCTGTCATCTCTGCGTAGTTGCCATTTGAATATGCCTATGCATGGGCTGAGAATTTAAGATCCAGCTTAGTAAATTTCAACTGTGTGGTGCATCATCTTTAACAGTTGCCCAGTCTGTGCATTTAGACCTCGAGAACTTACTCATCTTGAAAACTTTATGCCCTCTGACCGCTGTCACCCCCAATTCCCTCCCTCAGCCCCTGGCAGCCACTGTCATCCTCTGTACTTCCATGAATTTGACTATTTTAGATTCCACGTACAGATAAGATCATGCAGTATGTTTCCTTTTGTGTCTTGCTTATTTTGCTTAGTGTAATGCTCTCCAGCACCATCCATGTAAAAAATGGCAGGGTTTCCTACTTTTTTTTTTTTAAAGCTGAATAATATTCCATATGTGCATGCGTGTGTGTATTCATTCACGCACACTGTGTATTCTTTCATCAGTTTGAAGGGCATTTAGGCTGCTCCCACATCTTGGCGTGGTGAAAAATACTGCAGTGAACATGGAATGCAGATACCTCTTTGAGATAATGGATTTTACTTTCTTTGGAAGTAGTATTGGTGGGTCATTTGGCAGTTATATCTTTAATTTTTTGTGGACCCTCCATATGTTTTCCATAATGGCTGTATTAATTTGCATCCTTATTGACCACATGGAACGGGTCCTTACCTCTTGTCGTTTTTGATAACAGTTATCCTAACATGTGAGGGGATTCTCGTTGCAGTTTTGATTTGCATTTTCCTGGTGATTAGAGATCGAGCGCCTTCTCACATGCCAGCTGGCCATCTGGCTTCCTCTTAGAAAGTGTCTACTCAGGTCCTTTGCCCCTTTTTCAGACGCATTATTGGTATTTTTGATACTGAGTTGTATGAGTTCCTTACATGTTTTTTAATTGTCCTCTTCTTATTAATTTCCTCGGTAGGTTTGATCATGTTATTTTAGCAACACCAAATGGAGATATCTTGATCCAGGATCTTAATTTTGAAGTAAGTTTTTGAATGTTCATATAAACGCTTAAATCATCCTCAAAATGTGAACTGAAAAACTGTCTGCAATAGTTAAATGAATTGCAAGTCTTCATTTAGTCTTTGTTCACAGAATTGCTTTTCAAATTCAATCCTTGAATCACCTGGAAGTTGCTGTTTTTTTAATTGACTGGACTTTAAGATTTCAAGTACTGCTCCTCTGTCAAAATTTTTTTGCAAGTTAAATCCATACCAAGAAAGCCATATAATTTGTATTTAATTGGAATTTCCTGTTTAAACATGCAAATATAGTTTTACTCTCTTCAAATTATAAAAGAATCTTATGGTTTGATATTACTTTGATTATGCAGGAGGATTTATACCCATACAAACAAAGTACAGTCATGTCTCACTGACAAACCCTTGGCAGAGCAGCTCAGGAGCAGTGCAGATAGCCTGTCCCCAGCAAGCAGACCGCAGACAGGGACTATGCTTCCTGGGGAGGGCCTGCAGGACCCAAGGGCTACTGTAGGCTGTGCATGCTGTGACAGGACATCCCCACTTGCACACTCTCCCCAGTTCCAGGTGCCGGGTCTCTAGAACTTCCTGTGCTGACGGACATGTTCTGATCCTGCTGTCCACTCAGTAGCCAGGTGTGGACACTGAACACCGTCAAGGGACGCATTTTAATTTTAATTAGTTTGATTGTAAATTAAGTAACCACAGGTGACCAGTGGCTTCTGTGTTGGGCAGCACAGCTCTAGAAAGCCACTCTATGTGTGGCATCTGTAGTGACGTTTTATTTGAGGTTTTCCCAGCTGCTTTCATTAAAAAAATGTCTAATAGTTTATAAAATAAGGGGTGCAATTACTGGATTTGTTTTTAAATTTTTACAGTCTTAGGTAAGTCTTTAGTAATTATATATAAGTGCAACTCTATTGTCTTCTTGGGGTGAGAAGGTTGCTAGCTATGCAGAGAGCTTTAAACTTACTCAGCAGCGAGTATTATATCATCTTCATAGTTGTTTTAAAGCCAGGAAACATAAGATGGAAGTACAGAAAATGTAAATACAGTTGGCAAATATTGAGACTCTAGGGGTGGCAGAAGTGTCACTTAGTGCTTTCTTTGCAAAGAGGGGGTCATTGCCAGCTTGACTTTATAGAGAACAGAGCTCAGAATCCTGTCTTTGTTAGGTTCCCAGTAGCCCCCTTATTACTAAGCCCCCATGATGAGAAGGATATGATACTTCTCCATTGAAGACTGCCTCTGTAGCCTTTCTCCCACTGTCCCTCATTCCAATCTTTAGCAGAACTGAAATAAGCCAGCTTTGTAAGTACACATGTGGCTTAAGCATTGTGGATCTGTGTGTGCAGGTGCAGAGTCGATGGCCACACACAACCTGAGCGTGGAGTGGTCTGTGTGCACACAGAGTGGATGGGTCATGTGACGTGAGCATCGTGGAATGTGTGTATGCAGAATGGATGGGTCACATGTGGCTTAAGTATCATGAGATCTGTACAGGTGCAGGGTAGATGGCCACATGGCCTGAGCACGGAGGGGTCTGTACACACCCAGAGTGGATGGGTCACACAGGTATGCTGGATCATGACTGGTTCGTGATACCACTTTGCCACACACTGAAGCTGTCTCTTTCATTTATGTCCAGAGCCTGTCCTGTCAAAGCCCTTAAATTTGGATTGGATATATTTGTGACCAGTCCCTGTAATGTCACTTTTATAGTCTTAAAGGCCCTTGTTGCTTTTATTTTGGTTTTGTTTGCAAAGTCTTTCTGAGTCTGCAGTTTTGCTCCGACTTGCTCAAGCTTCAACCTCATGGCATGTTCCTAGCTCTGCTTCGTAAAGTGGTTCTTGTTAGTTTTCTCCTGCACTGGCACCTGTTCTCTGACTCCTGTCCAATAGCGCTGTTCAGGTTCCTTTTGTATCCCTGACTCAGTGTTCTCTGTTAGACTTGGCTTTTCTCACTTATTATCTTGCCATCTTTTCTGAGCACAACCTTTCTTTATGCAACTAGCATCCTGCTTAGTTCTTTGTAACTGTTAATTATTTTCTGCCTACCTGGCTTGAAGGATTTCTGTTAGTTGCTTTTTTTTTTTTTTTGGTGGTGGTGGTGGTGGGGTTTGAACTCGGGGTTTCATGCTTGCTAGGCAGGCACTCTACCATTTGAACTACTGCACCAGCCTGAAGGATTTCTTTCAGAGAGAAGTATAGTGGAGTCGAGACTTGGCCCTCAGAAAGTAAACTGTCCACCTTACAATTCACCTATCTTCTGATTGCGCTATAACCGAGAACACAAGCCTCATCAGGATGAGAGGGTTTGCCTCTTTCTTCCATGAGCTCCCCGCACAGGTGTGCATCACTCCTCTTGAAGGCTGAATGTTATTCCATTGTATGTGTGCACCACATTTTAAAATCTATTCATCCCCTTGGGTTGCTTCCACTTTTTGGCCACTATGAAAAATGTTGATAGCTTTCTGTTTCGTCACAGTAAAAGCCAAAGTCTTCTCAGCTGGCTTACAGTAATTGGTGAGATTTAAGTGCATCTACTTTGCCTTGTCTCATTGCTCACTGACCCTAGTTCCTGCTTCTCTTCCCTCCTGGTCATTCTTCTCAAACCAAATCAGCCTCCTTTGTGCTGTGTGCAAAGGACAGGCTTGTTGCTGCCTCAGTGCCTTTGCAGCGGCCCTTTGTGTTTAGTTGTAAAGCACGGATTTCCTCCAGATCCCCATCTAGATCACTTCTTCCAGTCCTGCCCACTGCCACTCAGTGAGTCTACTCCAGCCGCCTTAGTCGTCCTGATCTAGATCTGCTTTTAACCCATAGTGCTTAGCCTCTAGCACAGACTTTCACTCACCAGTTTATTGTGCACAGTCTTTATGTGTTTCTCCTCCCACTGGAGAGTAAAAGGTGAGGCAGGGTTGTTGTTTCTTTTTTGTCTCTTGTTCACTAATGTAGCCCATTGTTGAGGACAGACCCTGACAGAAAGCACGGGCTGCAATCAGCAGAATCTGTTATCACCAGTTTAAAACACTTGCCGGAGGCAGGCTACACAGCCAGTGCAGCCCATGACTCTTCAGCGCCTTCTGTGCTGCTGTGCTGCACAGTGCTGAAAACAAGAGTTATAACCCAGATTCTCTAATTAGTTAGAGAGGTGATTAGACACTGGAACGACCATAGTTTAGAACACAGCCGCATTTCACATTTCTCATGAGACTGATCTTTCCCTGGTCACAGAACAGTTTAGTGGCACTTGTCAATATTGGTCATTCTCATACTCTTTGATCTGACAACTTTAAGTTTTGAGAATCTAATTTATACAAACATTTCTTTGTAGTGCGTAAGTTTACTTGCTGATACAGAAGTTCATTGCAGTATTAGATAAAAGAGCAAAACAAAGTTATTTAATTATTTAACCAAAGGGGGCGGTGAAATAAATTATGGTGCATTCTTACTGTGGAAGGCCCCACAAGGCTTTAAGGTGATGGGAATGGGGGGGGTCACAAAGTTTATTGACTGGAATATTCGTGGTATATTGTTATGTATATATGGACCACTAGGTAGAATAGCATATGCAATATATACATACATAGATAGAGTTCAGTTTTTTAGAAAAAGGCTGAGGATACACGTTTATTGTTCTCAAGAATTATCAGATTTTAAAGTTTTAGCTTTTTGAATTCTGATTCAGATTAAGTTGGATGGCATTGGTCAGCAATGGTTCTTAAATGGCAAGGTGAAACCATAAACAGAAGTTTACGGGCGCCATATCACCCCATTGTTCTGCTCTAATGCCATGCTTACACACAATTAGCAAACAGCTGTCTGACTCCAAGGAAGTGTTTGTGTGGACATACTCACTTGATTTAATCAATTCATAGATGAATTTTCTTTCAGGTTCGATCTGGGGCCAATGTACTCATTTGTGGCCCAAATGGCTGCGGAAAGAGTTCACTGTTCCGTGTTCTCGGTGAAGTATGTTCAAACTGTTGTCCAAGTTGTCAGTCTTATGTTGCAATACCTTTTGCTACATGAGAATTCCACAGTTGCTTCTCTCTTCCTTCCCTTCTTTTACAGTTATGGCCTCTTTTTGGAGGGCGTCTTACTAAACCTGAGAGGGGAAAGTTGTTTTATGTTCCTCAGGTAAGACCTTTTTTGAGTTATTTTGTAATCTTTTTACTTATTTAATGAAATGTTCTTCTTTATTTATTTATATACTTTCCAATGGCTTTTGCTGTGCTCTGTTCAGAGACCTTACATGACCCTTGGAACTCTTCGAGACCAAGTGATATATCCAGATGGAAGGGAAGATCAGAAGAAGAAGGGTATCTCCGACCAGGTAAGAGAGGGAGAGGGATTATGTCCTGGGGCTGCTGAAAATGCTTCCTCTTACGTCCTTACCTGAATTAGTGGAGTATTTTCAGTGCAGGCATTGGCCTAAGCCAGTCAGGCCTTCCCAATCCACTAGTCACACCTTCCCAGGTTGAGGTGAGAGGGTAAGCATCATGTGCAAGTACTTCACTCCTGCTTGCTTTCTCGTCACCCTGCCCTCTGATGATGCCCAGGGCTCCAGTATCTCAAGATGGTAGACACACTTGGCCAAGGTTGACAGAGACAGGATCTGGAAAGTTCAGGGTTACCTTGTGCCACAGTCCTGTGAAGAGTGCATACCTCTCTGAGGGTATTGGCAATGGAATCGTTGAGATTCCATTGAGTATGTGCTTTCTATAAGCTTGACTTCATTCTTCCTCCTTTGTTGACAGGTACTGAAGGAGTACTTGGACAACGTGCAGTTGGGTCATATCTTAGAACGGGAAGGAGGCTGGGACAGTGTTCAGGACTGGATGGATGTGCTCAGCGGAGGAGAGAAGCAAAGAATGGCTGTAAGTGTACTCCACAGACCTGCACAAATGCAACTGCTTGCTGAAGGTTACTTTTAGAGTCCATCTGAGTTCTAGCTTTTATCTTCTTATTTAGCAGTTATTATAAGATGGATTAGTTTAAATGGTAATAGAAGTGCTTAGAAATGTTTAACTCACATGCAGATTTGGAATTCTGAAAACCCATTAATAATGTGTACCTGTGAAAGGAAGAGCTGGATAAACCCTCTAGTTTGGAGACAGTGTGGCACATTGGCCCTGGGTCTGTGCTAGCGTGGTGAGTCACTGGGTCTTCTCAGTGTCTTCTCCCTGCAGATACCTCTTCTGTTCCCTCAGGCTGTTCTCCCTGACATAGCTGAAGGGATCAGAAATGGCAGCTCTTTGTTTTATTCTTTGTTCTTACCTTCTCCCTCTACTATGTGTGTCTTCCTTTTAAGACTCAATAGCCACTGATTGAAGTTGTTTGGAATTGAACATTTTTCCTCATGTAAAGAAGCATTTGAAAGGAGTGACTTTAATTTTTATAATAATTACATTTATCTCAAACCAAAAACATGTGCTGAACGCTGCATGTTAGGAGAGGTCCTGGGACACCTTTTAAGAGGACTGACTTGTGAGGACTCTTTTCTAGCTGCGTGTACCATAGATTGAGGATGAGAGTATTTCTTCCCTCAGTGTTAGTTGGTGGAAGTTGCAGAAAGCTAGACAAGGAAGGAAAGAGAAGCAGTGGCTTCTACTGGATTTTTTGCCACCATCTTTGGCCACATCCTTTGTTTTCTGGCTTTTCTTTGGCTCCTCCCTGATTTTGCATGTTCTTTCCAGGGTCACCACCACTCTGTAGAACTTGGTAACTAATGCTGTGATTGCTTGCCTAGTGCTGTCACGTGAGATTAATTTCTGTGAAGAATGAACCACAAGCAGAAGGGAAATATTTTCTGTGCTCAAAATGGAAATTAGCAAGGAGTGAGAATTTTAATCAACCAGGCATGGAGGCAGCTTCTTTTTTTTTTTTTAATAGAAAATGACTCTGTAGACTGTGGAGAAATCACACTGCAAGTCAGCAGAACAAATTTAAGTTTGTAGAACATGGAAGTGGGCACCGTAGAAAGTCAGAAGAAAGACTGTGGCCTGAAGGGGTGGGTGTGGTAACTCTGAGGAGTGACAGAGCAGGAGAAGAGCCCTGCACAAGTGGGCGGTGCGTAGTAAGCTGTTTGGGAGGCAGGCCGAGCTCATCAGTGCAGCTGCCGCCCACCTGACAGGAGCCACAGGCAGGGTGCTCTCCTGTAGGCCAGCTTTACAAGAGAGGAAGACAGAAGGCCAGGGCAGCAAATCCTGGCATGGGAAAGATTTGTGTTCATTTTACTGTTGCTCAGTTTTTGTCCCAGTAGAGCCTTGGGAGAAAAGACATTTTAGCATGTAGAAAGAACAGATGTGAAGGCCTGGCCACCTCCACAGTCTGTAAGCCTGGAGGTTGCAGTAAGACAGGTGAACTCAAGCAGCCCTTGTGTAAGGTCAGGATTTGAGTTTGGGCTGTGACACGGAATAGAGTGATGCTGTTGAACGCGGGAGGTGTGGTGACAGTTAGCGTGTATGTGGGACATCTCAGCATGGAAAGTGTTAAATGACATGCTTTCCGTCCTGCCTTTAAAATCTAGGCAGAGCTCCAGTTACTCTCATGTAACTGTAACACTTGACAGCGTCAGTTACAGCTCCAAAGAAGGAGCCTGGGGTAGTAGGGAGGAGCCTGGCTTTGCATGGCAGTTCCCTTCTAACCCCTAGCAGCCCTGGGCTTCTTTCATTGGCCCTTGATGCTTCCTTTTTTGGGAGGCAGGCAATGCACCAGAGTTTGAACTCAGGGCCTTGTGCATGGAGGCAGGTGCTCTCCACTTGAGCCAGTCCTTTTTGCTTTAGTTAATTTTTCAGATAGTATCTCTTGCTTTTGCCAGAGACTAACTTCAGACCACCATCTTTTCCTACCTTCACCTCTTGTATAGCTGATTGCAGGTGTGCAGCACCACACCTGGCCCTTGATGAAAAATCAAGTGATGCTTCCCTTACCTCCACTGCACCCATTTGGGCCTTACGACCCCAGTCACCCTTGCCTCAGCTTATACCATGTTGGGACATCCTATATCTCTGACCAAAAGTTTTTTTCTACTTCTTTCTTCTACTCTTCCTACTTACTAACGAGTTTTTTATATTGAACGATGAAAAAGTGATATGATAGAAAGGCTGGAATATTTAGAAACCTCACACCAGAGGACCTCTGTCACAAAGTGTGCAGTGTTCTTTAAAAATCCAGTTTTGTAATTCTGTTTCTGTTGACTTAAATCTCACTGAATTCTTCCCTTTTCTTTGGTCACCCAGGACATTCTAAAGGGGTGAACAGATAATCCCTGCTCCTTAGCAGCCCTTCCTGCATTTTCTTTCTTCCTATTACCTAAACCCCACCCAAAAGCTATGTAGGCTTCTGAGCATAGCTGAACAAATGAGACTGGTATATGTGTGGTGAGGGGCTCGAAGTGCAGCTTGGCAGTTACTTTGCTTATCTGTGCTCTTCACGCATCTTCCTTTCCTCCCCTCCCTTTCCTTCCCTTCCCCTCCCCTCCTCCTTCCTTTCATGGTACTGGGATTTGAAATCAGGGCTTTGCACTTGCCACATAGGCAGGCGCTTTACCATTTGAGCCTTGTCCCCAGCTACTTTCTCATTTTTTATGGTAATTATTTAAAAACTACCATCTTGGGTTTTTTACCTCATTGTTTCCTTTACTGCTGTCAGCAGAATGACTGGCTTTCTGCATAAAGAAAAAACAGGCTGTTTGTTCAGTTAAATGGTAGCTGTTTTGTAGGTGCAGACAGCATGCCAAGCACATTAGCAGACTGCCTCACACAGTCATCCCCGCGGGCCCTGAGTGAGGCACCGAGGGCCCATTTCCCTGGGGAGAGGGACTCTGTGCTGCTGGGTGGCTGGCTGGGCACAGATGACTGTGAATGTTAGAGCCCGTGGCGGGTGGTTGTGGTGCTTAGGCAGCAGTACGGCCCCTGCATTCGTACACCACTCATTCCACAACCTCCCTGTGCTGTGGAGCCAAGAAGCTGATAGCACAGAAGGAGAGAGGTGAGAAAAGTGATGGTCCTACATGATGACAAAATTGCCATGTGAGCAGAGGAGAGGTTCTTGTGGAGGCCTTCCTTCCTGTAGCCATTCTTCTGACCAGCCTGGCTCCATCTGTCTCGCTCTTCTGGAAGGCTGAGTGCCAGGGACACTCTCCTCTGAGTGTCACTCCCATGGCCTTCAGCTCTGCATCCTGCCTCCATCTATAGTAGATGTTTTCAAGTCTAATCTAGAGGCAGCCTGCCTCATCAGAAGTCCCTGTGGCCCGTACTTCTCATTTCTGCAGACTTTCCTGTTTCCTCTTCCTCGCCTTGCAAAGGCAAGCTAACCCCAAGACAGCTGCTTGTTTTAGTCATTCACTTACTATGTATTTGAATATTCCCTGATGGGTAATTAAATTGTAGTCTCTGTGAGTCCTGCAGCCCAGGCAAGCAGACAAAGATAAGTAGCTTACTGTCAAGAGGGAGCTCCTGCAGTCTCCTGCAGGCACTTGTTGGAGCCATCAGGCCTTGAGACACAGAGAAAGCATGGCACGTGCTGAGCCTCTGAACTGTAGGCCATGGTGCTCCTAGTTGTGGGAAGACAGTCCTGGGTAGAATGCTGAGGCCAGAGCAGTAGTGGGAATGAAATTGTGGGGGCCGTGGTAAGGAGTTTGACTTTTATTCTAAGTGAAATAGAAAGGAGCTGAAGGATGTTGAACCTTCAGTGAAGATTCTGATTTACAATTGTACAGATTCTCTCTGGTTACTTGGAGGATGAGCCAAGAGGAAGCAGGTGATTGCTTGTGGCCACCCGTGCAGATGAGTGTGATCTGGAATGAGGGCCTGGTGGTGGGGATGAGGAAGACTGAGTGCACTTGACTAAAGAGGAGGGGTGGGTGAGAGAGAGGAGGAGAAGGATTAAGGAGGACTAACGCCATTTTCTGAAATGTTGAAGATTGGAGGTGGGGGAGCAGGTTAGAGAAATGTCTAGAAAAAAAAATGCATTTGAGTTTTAGTCTTGAAGTCTAAAAATCCTGAGAGATATCTGAGTAGAGAATCCAAAGAAGAATTTATCAATCTGGAAGTTAGAAAGGGACAAGGAGATGTGTATTAGGAGTTTTGAGAAGGTAAACATGTTTGAAACGTGAGATCGAATGAGACCCCTCAGAAAGACACGGTGTAGGGAAGAGGAGAGATGGGAAGCAGCCCTGAGAATACCACATTTCATGCCAAGTGAAGGATAAAGTGCTGGAGGAGAAGCTGAGAAGGCGGCCTGGGAAGTGGGACTTGGAGGAAGGGAGAGACGGACAGGTGGATGGAGGCTTATCAAGCAGGCAAGACGACAGGGTGGGAAGGCCAGTTCTGCAACATGGAGGTCACTGTCGGGAGCAGGTGACAAATTGCAGCATCTGTCTGAGGATTAGCAGAAATCATTTCCAGAACATGAAGTACAGGTGGATGGTAAGAGTGAGAAGTGCTCAGCATTCCTGCCAATGAGGGAAAGAAAGCTGTGGCGTCCTGATGGGAATTGTCACTGGTAAAATTAGAATGGCGTTTAATAAGCGCACACATCCGCAGGAACAGCCGAGGCCTGATGCAGGCGAGTGCTCACTGGGGTTTGATGCGCTCAAGCACCTGGACCTCTGACTTCTGAGATTTGGTTCTGCCTCTAATCTTGTTTGTTTAGTGAACTTCAGTACTATTTTAAAACAGCCTCATGTCACACCAGTTTGTGGTTTGCTCTGATCAATGATTATTACACATGTACTGTGTCTTCCCCTTTGGGACAACAGTAAAGACAACTAGTCCTTTTTTTTTTTCCGGGTACTGGGGCTTGAACTCAGGGCCTTCACCTTGAGCCACTCCACCAGTCCTATTTTTGTGAAGGATTTTTTTGAGATAGGGTCTGGTGAACTATTAGCCTGGGCTGGCTTCAAACTGTGATCCTCCTGATCTCTGCCTCCTGAGTAGCTGAGATTACAGGCATGAGCCATGGCACCCGGCAAGACAACTAGTCTTGTTAAATTGTTCCCATTCCTGAGAAGAAGATGGTTTGAGTTAGAATAATTTTCATACTTCAGCTTTACAAGATATCAAATGCATATTTAACTAAAGTAAGTTTATCTTAGCTTATTAGTTTCAGGTCTGCATGTGTTTACAAATAACATTTCTTCTTTGCTTCAGATGGCAAGGTTGTTTTATCATAAGCCCCAGTTTGCCATTTTGGATGAGTGCACAAGTGCCGTCAGCGTGGACGTGGAGGACTACATTTACAGCCACTGTCGGAAGGTGAGCGGGCAGTTTCTTGGTGGCAGGGTCTGTGTCCCCATGGGCACCGTGTCCACCAGGCTACTCAGCAGAGTTACCACCAAAAGGTGATGCCTTGGTTTAAGGACGATTTTAAAACTGGGAGCTAAAATAGTGAAAGGAAAAGGAACTGTGCATGCATTCTGTGTATAACCCATTCTAGCCACTTCTTCCACACAAAATAACGTTTACGCACGGCTTCCTCGCTTGTAGTTCATGCCTACACCAGGCGTTAACTGGTCTTCTCCGAGTTTGTTCATGAGCTTTACCTGAGCATCATTTGTCAGGAAAACCCAGCAGTAATCACTTCGCAACTTTTAATTTATCTGTTGGATTCTGTGGCCTGGGCAGTGTCTTACCAACTATTTAGTAGACACATGCAAGGCTGTCCATTCGGCTGCTCTTTACATGGTCATTCAGTAGTCCCAGTCACTTTCTCCTTGAAGGAGTTGTTATTACCCCCTATACTCTTGTTACATTTTAAGAACAACACTTCGCTCTTTTCTGTGTAACTGGGTGAAGTATGGGAGTATTTTAGGGAGTTTATGGTAAATAAAAAAGATCATATTACATGTGTAAGCAGGTAATATTCAGGAGGTTGTTAGAAATGCAGGTTCTTCTCTGTAGGAAGATTGTAACTGTTTATTTCTTTGATGCTTATTTTCTACTCTTGAATCAGTTTGGTAATTCATAGTTTCTATGCATTTGTCCATATGGTTTTCAGTTTGTAGGTATTAGCGATATTTGAGGTATATATGTAAAACCAGGGAGTTCATGTTGACTTAGAGGCTTTTGCTGGGAATTCACCATGTGACTTCCTTATGTATCCTGTGTACAGGCTGTGAGTCTCCACAAAAGATTATGTAACTCTGTAAGACACAGATTGTATTTAAAGGAAGGAAGTTCATAAGGGGTCCCAGTGATAAATCATAGTAACAAAAAGTTACCATAAAATCATAACAGCACTTATACATGGATGCACAGACAGTGAGGTATGAACTCCTTAAGCTTGGAGCTCTTCTACGACTATAAAATAACTGCAAATTTAAATACAAGAAAACTTAGGCACAATGCACAATTTGTAGCACTGAAGACACTTGTGATGCTTTTTTGCTGAAACCAAGCTAGTGTTTTGTGTTTGTTTATGGAAGGACAGAATCTGCCCTTCAGATCTTACAGTTTTGCTTTTGTATTTTGACTTAAGTAACTCTAATATAAAGAATGTCTACTCTGTTGATGGAGGGGTGAACCTAATGAACATTGTGAGCTTCTGTGCAAATGTCACAGTGAAAACCCCTACACAACCAATATGTGCTAAGAAAAATCTTAAAGAATGCCTACTCTAATTAGAGATCTAATCCCAGTTATGGAATCATGAACAAAATAATAACGTATGCATTGAGCTTTCAGTAGTCAGCTGAAATGTGTTTTCTTAATGCTGACGATGTACTTATTTTATTATGCAGTTCACAACCAATTTTTGCAGAGCAGCCAAACCTGTGACACTGGAAAGTGTTAAGTGATAATGCTTTGTGGCAGCGGAAGTGTAATTTTATGGTAGGAATGATCAAGAATATACTTAGGCTACTTTTTAAAATTATCATTAAAATAAGAATAAAGTTTAAAACCATAGTGGCAATTTCTGAGTTCCCAAAGCGTGTCCTGCCAGCCTGAAGGGCTGAGATCACCAGTGCGTCTCACACCCAGGTGCTGTTGACCAGGTGGTGCTGACCGACCATGGCTGGATTCCTGGTCTGTCATGGCAGGCTCCTGTTACAGATGGTTGTGTTCAGTGGCATCTCCGCCTCTTCCCAGTAGATGGCAGCAGTGCTCTCAGATGGGACCACTAAAAAATGGCTCCAGACTTCCTCAAATGTCTGCTGGGGACGCAAAAAAATCTCCCCTTGGTTGAGAACCACCTATAACGCCAGGTCCATACTTGCTGTTACGGAACACTTGTGTGTTTCATTGCAAATTTCTGTCCCCGAACCTTCGAGGATGCTAAATAATACATTTCCAAACTCTGGATTCCAAGACATTGCAGCAAGAGTCTCCAGCAAGGGGGTCAAGAAACGTGCTAGAAGGTTGATCCTCTGCCCCAGACAAAATGATATGCTCAGTCCTGGACCTGCTAGTTTTTATTATGTGGTGAATGACCCAAACTTCAGTGCTGTAAACATTTGCATCATTTGCAGTTTTTTCTGTTTGGCACTGGTCATCTGAACAGCTTAGCGAATTTGCACTGGCTCACCTCTCGGCTTGCCTTCCTGTATAAAACTGAACCCTTCTCTTTGAATTAGGTTGGGATCACCCTGTTCACTGTGTCACATAGAAAGTCTCTCTGGAAACACCACGAGGTTTGTATTTCTTCTCTTTTATGGTGCAGTGAGTTTCTTTTACTTATATATGTGAATTTAAATGAATGTAATTTTAAATTTCATGGTGTATATTCCCTAATGAACATACACCTCAAGAAAAAAAGCAATTTCGCTCCAGTTTTGTTGTATACAGTAGGACTTTCTTCAATATTATTGTAGTCAGTTTTGGAAGTACAGTGTGTATATTAACAATGTCTAGTTAGACACCACAGTGAGCAGTTAGCATTTTTCTAGTTTTCTTGGTGAGCATTGCATAATAGCTACGTTTGCATAATCTTATCACAGAGAGAGGGCTGAATAAACCTTATCATCCAGGTTTGACAGTAGTCTTAAGAAGAACCAATGGCAGCCATTTTGGGGTTACTTTTAGTAGAGGTTAGGGTTACAGGGGGATGTGGATTACAGTCACAGTGTAACGAGACAGTGTTCTCTAGCTCCTCACTGTCACATACAGGGATGTCATGTGAGCCCTGGTCTGTGTTGGTATAGTTCTCCCAACTTGTTTGTTGAGATGGAGTCTCGCTAACTTTTTTGCCCTGGGTGGCTGTAAACTGATCCTCCTGTTCTCTGCCTCCTGAGTAGTTGGGGTCACAGGTGTGAGCCACTGACTTTTATTATTATCTTAAGGTACATGTTATAATTTTTACGTAGTGAATGAGGAATGGAATAACTAGAAGCCAGAGGAATTTAAAATACATCCAAGCTTTTGTTTTCTTAGAACTTCACAAACACTGCTGCCATAGGACAGCAAGAGGGCTTGGGTCCCCCTGTCCTCTTTTCCTGAAGCTTTAGACAATTAGTGAACGAACAGCAGGCTAGTAATCGTGTGATGGACGGGGGAAGGTAAGGTCAGAATAGCTGAGAAATAGTTCAGAAGATAAGCAGGAAGACAGACATTGAAAACCAGACGGCTTTGTAGCTGCTGTCCTTGGGACCAGTTAAGTAGGCACATCGTGGAGTTCTTTTGCTCCTCTGCTAAAGCCAAGAGCATCTCAGCTATCATCAGCTCACCTAGGAAATCAGCTACAGAGGAAGCAATGGAGACTGTACTGCGGCCGCCCCACGGTTGTGCTGACCCTTGCTCCTGAAGGCGCAGAAGCAGTCTCATTTGTGGGAAGCCTAAGAACAAGACAGAAGTCTGTAGTTTAGTTTTCAGAGAAGAAAGTGCTCTGTCTGCCTTGGGGACTGATTTTTCCCTTGTCTCCCACAGTTCTACCTGCACATGGACGGCAGAGGTAACTATGAATTCAAAGAAATCACAGATGACACTGTTGAGTTCGGCTCCTAGAGACATCCAGAGAACTGCACCTTCTTCAATGAGATAAATCCTTACAGAACACTTAGAAACACAGCGTGCATTGTGGAATAAAGTTCAGCTTGTTTTTTTAAAAAACAAAGCAACAAATTAACTAGATATAGAATAATCGAGAACATGTTAAAACATTTAATATGATGTAGAATATTGCTAATTGTGTATATGTTGGTTTAATTTTTAATATGTGCTAATAATGTCCTTATTCTTGTGGTTAAAAACCTGCCTAAATTCAATTGGGCTTAAGTCAGCGTGACCTGATTCATCCTGGATGTAAAGCATGTGAAGTCAGCTAATTTGACTTTTCCTTCGATGAGAAACCCTCCTTAAAATGGGGGTCATCACTTGTCCTAGTCACAGCAGTCTTGAGTTCATTTTCTTGTGCCATGGTCGTGGGAATGACACACATCACAATGCGTTACTGAACCGCACAGCGTGACCGCACAGCTTGTACTGAAAGTTGTCACACAGTGGCAGATTTCTGAGCCGTCACCGCCATGCTCATTCTTCATTATGCCTTGTGGTATGTTGATGCCACGAGAGCCATCGGGTTTTCTCCAGGTGAGAACCAGGCCCCTCTCATTCTGCAGCATTGAGTTGTTTTGAGGGTTCTTTGTGACAGAAGTCCATGTGCAATCTTGCTTATTACAGGGCAGTAACCATGTGTCACCTAATCTTCCCAATGTTTGGGATGCTCTAAGTCTTAGGTGAGTTGTAGATTTTTCCAAAGCATTGGACAGACCTGTGTGTGGTGGAAGTCTGTGACCGGAGCATGGTGGCTGTGGAGTGTTTGCTGCAGATGAGCCGCACACACACTGCGCGAGTGTGCACTGAAGATGAAGTGTCGTCATGGTCTCTACAACCATCTTTTAGGTTAAAAAGGTAATACTGTTATGCACAGGGGTGAATTACATTTCCCAGGCACTGGTTTATCTCTGTGAATCTTGAATAACTTTTTATATTTGACAAATTATGCGAACTTTCCTAAGAGAAATGAATTCAGCTCACCAAGCCCCATCGATGATGCCTCATGTGTTATTTGCACGAAGAGAACTGAAAGTGAGCACAACCAGGGAGCTAGCTGTGAAGTCAGCTCATCAAGCTGAGGTCGGCATAGGCATTGCATGACTGGTTGGTGTTTTGCAGAATTAACCAAGAATCACTGGCTACCGAAGTCAACTCGATGTACTGATTCTCTAATACATAACACTCAATTTTTACCATTTCTGTTTAGCAAACTTGTATTACTTTTCTGTTCAGATTAAAGAAGATCAGATGCCTCATCAGCTCTGCCTGCTCTGTCGTGTTCAGTGTCCAGATGCTGGGTAGTTGGTAGGCAGTTCCTGAAAAGCAGTGAACATCCAGAAAGTGCTTTTAGCACTAAGTGTCTGTTTTTAAAAAGTTTTGTTCAATGTGCTTTGAAGTGAATGCATGTCTTTTTTAGAAAAGCTAACAAAATCTTCAGTGTATCCCTCACAAGGAGGCCTTCAGGCATGTCAGTCCTGAGAGAGATTTGAAGGCAGCCAGATGCAGATTTTCAGAGTTCTGGGTTACATAACCTTTCATGAAAGAACTCTCTCCTGTCTCTGGATCCCTTTTGTAATGAATTCCCGCCATCACTCACTCCCATCTGAGTCACAGAGGAGGGTCCTTCTAGAGGATCCTGCACTGGAACTCACTGAGGACCTTGACCCACTGTGAGGATAGCGGTGTCTGCAAGCGTGACTGACTACAACTCCTGTGCACACACACCTGTCACACTGCATGGGGAATGGGGGATTGAACCAGACCCGCCCTCAGCATTCTGCTAAGCGAGGGCCGCTGTGTGTTATGTGTGATGAGGAGAGGGTAAAATGTATCCAGGTTCCCCTCTACAGGGGTTATCCTCAGCCCCAAAAATAGTGTTTCCTTATGTCATTTTTAAACTTTTAAACTTGGGTTTTAAAACCATAATATGTACCTAAATAAGCAGAGTGAATTTTCTTCTGCCAGATGGACTTTCACATTTTTTACCATCCGAAGCTGTCTCCTTTTTTAACCTGTATTAGGAATATTTTTTTCATGAAGGATTGAAATGCTTTGAACATGTCATGTAAATGTCACTTTAAAAAGAACTCTAATACCAAAAAACTGGGGGAAAAAATTCACTTCTGCTCCTTAAGGGAAACCAATTTTAACTTTTCTTTGTGGGGGATACAGCACTGGGGTTTGAACTCAGGGCCTCAGGCTTGCCAGGCAGGTGCTCTACCACCTGAGCCACACCCTCAGTCCCAGTTTTAATTCTTAATTGGGGTACTTCTTATTTCAAAAACAATATGTCCTCAGCTATTTCTTGGTTTATCAGATTTAGATATTCCCCACCACTGATGTGCCTGCTGCCTTCTCCCCACAAATCATTTTTAAGACTTGGTAAGGAAGAATTCCAAGATGGCGGCTAGAGGTAGGAAGCAGAAAGCGAGCCTCCTATAGTGAAATCTTGGAGAGACGCTGGAGACACACTTTGCAGGCATAATCACCGAGAAAAGGCATAACTTTGACTCCTCCACATCTCCAGCCGGCGCAGAGAATCTCCACTTCACGTTAAACGGAGAACCGAGGAGGGCCCCGGGGCCGCCAGTGGCTGGCGCCCATACGGCTTGGGAAGACGCGGACCAGGTGAGCTTCGCGGTACCGCGGTAGCCCCACAGACAAGCCTGGGCCAGAGCAGCATAGCCCCCTGGACAGACTGACCTCCACCCGGGAAAAAAAGAGAAACTGAGTACTAAGCAATAAGAACAGTTAAGACACGCTGGAAAGAGGGTGGGGCGCCCTGAGCGCTGAAGATTGGGGGAAGGGAATCCTTCCCGGGACTGTAAATAAACAAGCCGGGCGGGCCGGAGAGGCTCTGGTGGGAGCGGGGCGCGCCCAGCAACCAGGAGCGGGACGCTTGTGAGAGGAGGGAAGACCCACTTCCCACGTGAACTGTAAATAAACACGCAGGCCTGACAACGGGGGCAGTGTCACCTTTCCCAGTGCTTGGAAAGGGGAAAGCCTGTAGCAGAGGCCCCGCACAGGAGAACTCTGAGCAAACAAAGCCTGTGGGACCAGGTGAGTGCTAAGCTCACCCCAGAGATCTGCATAAATAACGCCGCCAGCTACAGGCTGAGAGCAGCAGGCAGGCAAGCCACAGTTGCAGATACCACTCTCAGAACTGCCTCCAGACGCTTTTTTTTCTTTTTCTCCCTACCTTTGATGAGAGAACAACCGAATTACACCTGCAAGCCGAAAAACTTACTGAAACTGTATTGCATTTGAACTGGGGACACTTGGTGGGGCTTTTTTTTTTTTTTCTTCTGTGTGTGTGAGTGTAGTTTTGTTCTACTTTATGCATCCCCTTTGATGAGACAACTACAGAACAACATCTGAGGCACCAACTCCAGGACTGGAGATTGAGACGGACATCCAAATTATTAAGACTGAAATTGCATTGCATATAAACTTGGAAGTTTTTTGGTTTTTTGTTTTTTTTTTTTTAATTTTCTATTTTCCATTTTATTTTAATTCATTTTTATAATAGATATTACTTTCATATACTTATTTTTTATTTTTTTTATCTTTGATTTTCAATCCTCTCTCTGTCTCTCTATTGTCTGTTCAGCTTACTGTCGATTAGTACACTAACACTCCCTGTTTATACCTTTGAAACTCTCTTGTCTGATACCTTGTTCTGCTTTCTCCCTCTTGTCTGTATATTTGTTTTCCCCTTTTCTTTAACTTCTTGCTTTCCATCTCAGCTCACTCTTCCATTCTCAATATTACCATTGTTATTATTACAAGCTAGAAAATACTTAATTACACACAGTACAGGGACAGTAACAACACCAAGGACAATGACAGGAAGACAGAAAAAACAAGGAAACCAGTTTCCCCACAGCAAAAAATTAGTACAGGAACCAGAGGGGAATGAAGAGAACAGAAACTCAGAGCCAGACTCCAACAAAATGAAGATAAACTATGCCAAAGGACCCAATGAAGCCCACAAGAATAATTTAAAAGAAGACATACTACAAGTACTCAATGAGAATTTTATAGAGATGATACTGGATAGGGTCAACCAAAATGTACAGGAGACACTCAAGAAATTCCAAGACAATAAAAATAGAGAATTTGAAAAAGCAAAAGAAGAAATAAAGGAAACCATAGAAGCACTGTATAAACACCAAAGTGAAAGAGAGAACACAATGAATAAATGGATAAATGAACTCAGGACAAAAATAGACAACAATAAAGAAGAAAACAGCCAGGATATGGAAAACCTCAGAAAAAAGAACGAAACAGAACTGCAAAACAAAACGGAAGGCCAATCCAGCAGAATAGAACAAACAGAAGACAGAATCTCAGAACTTGAAGATGAAATGGTAATTAAAGGAAAAACTGAAGAACTATTAATTAAACAACTCAAGACCTGTGAAAAGAAAATGCAAGAACTCACTGACTCCATCAAAAGACCAAACTTGAGAATCATGGGCATCGAAGAAGGAGAAGAGGTGCAAGCGAAGGGAATGCGTAATATATTCAACAAAATAATAACGGAAAATTTCCCAAATCTAGAGAAAGATATTCCCATACAAATGCAAGAGGCCTCCAGGACACCAAACAGACCAGATCAAAATAGAACTACTCCACGACATATCATCATTAAAACAACAAGTTCAGAAACTAAGGAAAGAATATTGAAGGCTGTAAGAGAGAAAAAACAAGTAACATACAAAGGTAAACCCATCAAAATCACAGCAGACTTCTCAACAGAAACATTAAAAGCAAGAAGAGCGTGGGGTGAGATCTTCCGGGCACTGAATGAAAATAACTTCAACCCCAGGATACTCTACCCAGCAAAGCTATCATTCAAAATAGATGGAGCAATAAAAGTCTTCCATGATAAGCAGAAACTAAAACAATATGTGACCACAAAGCCACCATTACAAAAGATTCTGCAAGGGATCCTGCACACAGAAAGTGACACCCAACTTAACCATGAAAAGGCAGGCAGCACCAAACCACAGGATAAGAAAAAGCAAGACAGTAGAGAGTAACATCAAGTTAGGTACACACAATCAAACCTTCAAACAACTAAGATAACTAAATGGCAGGAATCACCACATACCTATCAGTACTAACACTTAATGTTAATGGACTTAATTCACCCATCAAAAGACACCGTTTGACAAAATGGATTAAAAAAGAAGATCCAACAATTTGTTGCTTACAGGAGACTCATCTCACCGACAGAAATAAGCATATGCTTAGGATGAAAGGCTGGAAGAAGATTTACCAAGCCAATGGCCCCCGAAAACAAGCAGGAGTAGCAATACTTATCTCTGACAAAGTAGACTTCAAACCTACATTGATCAAACGAGATAAAGAAGGACATTCCATACTAATAAAAGGGGAAATAGACCAAAAGGAAATAATAATCATCAATCTGTATGCACCCAATGTCAACGCACCCAATTTCATCAAACATACCCTGAAAGACCTAAAAGCATATATAAACGCCAACACAGTGGTTGTGGGAGACTTTAACACTCCATTATCATCAATAGATAGGTCATCCAAACAAAAACTCAATAAAGAAATCCAAGATCTAAAATATGCAATAGATCAAGTGGACCTAGTAGATGTCTACAGAACATTTCATCCAACCTCTACACAATATACATTCTTCTCAGCAGCCCATGGAACCTTCTCCAAAATAGATCATATCCTAGGGCACAAAGCAAGCCTCAGCAAATATAAGAAAATAGAAATAATACCGTGCATACTATCTGACCACAATGCAGTAAAAGTAGAACTCAACAACAAAAGTAAAGACAAAAAACATGCAAACAGCTGGAAACTAAATAACTCATTACTTAATGAAGAATGGATCATCGATGCAATAAAAGAGGAAATTAAAAAGTTCCTGGAAGTCAATGAAAATGAAAACACAACCTACCGGAACCTATGGGACACAGCTAAGGCAGTCTTGAGAGGAAAGTTTATAGCCATGAGTGCATATATTAAAAAGATTGAAAGATCCCAAATCAATGACCTAATGATACATCTCAAACTCCTAGAAAAACAAGAACAAGCAAATCCCAAAACAAATAGAAGGAGAGAAATAATAAAAATAAGAGCTGAAATCAACGAAATAGAAACCAAAAAAACCATACAAAGAATTAATGAAACAAAAAGTTGGTTCTTTGAAAAAATAAACAAGATCGATAGACCCCTGGCAAACCTGACTAAAATGAGGAGAGAAAAAACCCAAATTAGTAGAATCAGGAATGCAAAAGGGGAGATAACAACAAACACCATGGAAGTCCAGGAAATCATCAGAGACTACTTTGAGAACCTATATTCAAATAAATTTGAAAATCTAAAAGAAATGGACAGATTTCTAGATACATATGATCATCCAAAACTGAACCAAGAGGAAATTAATCACCTGAATAGACCTATAACACAAAATGAAATTGAAGCAGCAATCAAGAGTCTCCCCAAAAAGAAAAGTCCAGGACCTGATGGATTCTCTGCTGAATTCTATCAGACCTTTAAAGAAGAACTGATACCAACCCTCCTTAAACTGTTCCATGAAATAGAAAGGGAAGGAAAACTGCCAAACACATTTTATGAAGCCAGTATTACACTTATCCCAAAACCAGGCAAAGACACCTCCAAAAAGGAGAACTATAGGCCAATCTCCTTAATGAACATTGATGCAAAAATCCTCAACAAAATAATGGCAAATCGAATTCAGCAACACATCAAAAAGATTATTCACCACGACCAGTAGGCTTCATCCCAGGGATGCAGGGGTGGTTCAACATACGAAAATCAATAAACGTAATAAACCACATTAACAGAAGCAAAGACAAAAACCACTTGATCATCTCAATAGATGCAGAAAAAGCCTTTGATAAGATCCAACATCATTTCATGATAAAAGCTCTAAGAAAACTAGGAATAGAAGGAAAGTTCCTCAACATTATAAAAGCTATATATGACAAACCTACAGCCAGCATTATACTTAACGGAGAAAAATTAAACCATTCCCTCTAAAATCAGGAACCAGACAAGGATGCCCACTATCTCCACTCCTATTCAACATAGTACTGGAATTCCTAGCCAGAGCAATTAGGCAAGAAGAAGGAATAAAAGGAATACAAATAGGTAAAGAAACTGTCAAAATATCCCTATTTGCAGACGACATGATCCTATACCTTAAAGACCCAAAAAACTCTACTCAGAAGCTTCTAGACATCATCAATAGCTATAGCAAGGTAGCAGGATATAAAATCAACATAGAAAAATCATTAGCATTTCTATACACTAACAATGAGCAAACGGAAAAAGAATGTATGAAAACAATTCCATTTACAATAGCCTCAAAAAAATCAAATACCTAGGTGTAAACCTAACAAAAGATGTGAAAGACCTCTACAAGGAAAACTATACACTTCTGAAGAAAGAGATTGAGGA